AGAAAGAAAGAAAGAAAGAAAGAAAGAAAGAAAGAAAGAAAGAAAGAAAGAAAGAAAGAAAGAAAGAAAGAAAGAAAGAAAGAAAGGAAAAGGAAGTTCACAGTCACGTGATAAGATAGCCGATGCAGAGCTGGGTCAGGGACACACATCAACTCCATATAGTTCTGCGTGATGGGGTTAGGAGAGACAGGTGGACAGGAGGACCCTGCTTCAGAGAGAAAGAGCAGCAGAGGAGGAGAACGGATTCTGGGAGCTGCCGAGATAGGAAAGTGCTTGCCTCCAAACATCAGGACATGAGCTCCACCCATAGATCAAGATACCTGGTGTGGCGGTGTGCCTGTAATTCTAATGTCGGGAGGTGGAGACAGGAGGATGCCTGGGACTTATTGGACAGCCAGCCTAGCCTAAACAGTGGGCCCCAGATCCCACTTGAAGGACCCTGTGTCCAGGGAAATGTATGGCCTTTCTGAGGGTGACACCGAGGATGTCCTCTGGCCTCCATACACATGTACACACACCCACACACGCATACACACATGTGCATGCACACCCCCACACAAATACACGTGTACACACCTACACATGAACACACGCATGACTTCCATCTGACTCCAGGTCAAGAGCAAGCACTCTAGGGTCACACAGTCACTGCTCTGTCGCCGGAAGTACTTCAATCACGTGAAATTGGGAGAATCTGTTCCATGTGGTCCCTTTTGTTTGTCTGGACTAACCTTCTGACTCGACAGCTCCCTCATTCTCCTGACAGGACATGAAGATACCAACGAGCCTCTCAGAAGAAAGGTCAGTACCTCACACCAAGTTTCCCGGAAAGCCAAGTGTCTTTATTCTCAGACTGTGTTTCATGGACCTAACAACGGTCCTCGAAACAAACATGGACAGCAGTGACTGCCACCCACTGCATCACGGGAAATGGAAAACAGCACCTTGAGTGGTGTCCCACCCCTCAATCCAATCCACATCTGGGGAATGACACCCCAGGGTGCTCACGGAGCACCTGAATCTGGTAAGATTCCTCCTGGCTCCAGGGCCCTGGGCTCCTCTGCATGCAGAGATGAATGTGCATCTCGTTCTCGCGGTGCCTGTAAAGCCAACATGACAAGTGAGGCCGTGTTAAGCTAGCTCTCCTAGTTCACGAAGCATCTTTCTCCCTCGCGAGGGTTCATCCGTAGGTCTCGGGCCCAGTCTCCTGCCAGAGGCAGCATCAGGCCGGTGAGGAAGTAAGCCGCCAGCCACCTGGGCAGGTTCTGAGTCCAGCAGCCGAGAGACCTGAAGCTATCGAACGCTGACAGCTCAACTGAAGAATCTTGGCCCAGATCCTTTGATTTCAAAAGTCAGCCCATCTTTGGCCAAAGTACGGCAAATGGAGGTGTCGCTGAGTGTCGCCAAGAAGCCAGCACCAGGACGCGAAGGATGCCGAGAACTCCGGTTCCCTTTCGGCCCTGGAGAGGGGAGGGTCAGCCAGGAGGTCACATCTGGTGGCCCCTGGGCAGGCCCACCTAGTTTTCCTTCCTCTGCTGCTGTAACCTCTTGGCCACAGCTGTGATCAGAGCGGCTCCCTTCCCGCTGCCGTCCTCCGACAACATGAACGTCACGTCACACCGAGGGGCCAGCTCTCGCACTGTCTCCTGCAGTATCCGGGAGAAGCTGGGACAAAGAGGAAGACTCGTCGGTGCTTGCAGTGGGGCTGGCAGACCCACTACTGTGGTCAAGTTCCCTCCCCCCTGACCTCCGGGTGAAGCTCCCCCTCTCATCCATCAAGTGTGGTGTTAGCTGTCGGGTTTCCGCAGGAACTCCTCAGCCGGCTAAGGGACTCTCATTCCTAGTTCTGAGAGCTTTTATTGGGAAGGGGTGGGGGACTCCATCAAACTGTTTGTCAGCACCTTTTTGTGGTTGCTTGGTTGTTTTTTTTTTGTTTTTCAAGACAGGTTTTCTCTGTGTAGCCCTGGCTGTCCTGGAACTCGTTCTGTAGACCAGGCTGGCCTTGAACTCAGAGGTCCAGGTGTGCACCACTGCCACGTGGCATCAGCACCTTTTAAAAGGATTGTATGCTTTCTTTCTGCCTTTGGTCAAGTCTTAGTTCAGGAAAGGGATCTGGAGCTTGTGAGATGGCTCAGATCTGCTTGCCACCAGGCCTGAGGACCCAAGTTCAATACCCAGGCCCCTGTGGTGCGTGGAGAGAACCGACTCCTGTGCATCCACATATGCGCATACATACACACACACACATACATACACACACATACAAACACACACATACATACAAACACACACACACATACATACACACACATACAAACACACAAAAACACACACACATACATACACACACACACACACAAACGCACACACACACACACACATACACACAAACATACACACATACATACAAAATAAATGTAAAATTATTCTAAAGTCTCTCTTTGTAGAAACCAAACCCCAAACGTGTGTCACCAAGGGACAAAGAGAGAAGCTGTGAGCCAGCGATTAGCACCACGGGAATTTTATAATCTTGTTCTTACATCTCCTTGGCACCAAAATAAAGTGGGAAACATTGAACAAAAATAATAGCTTTTGCCAGGCGGTGGTGGCGCACACCTTTAATCCCAGCACTCGGGAGGCAGAGGCAGGCGGATCTCTGATCTACAGATCTACAGTACAGATCTCTGATCTCTGGTCTACAGAGCTCATTGCAGGACAGCCAGAGCTACACAGAGAAACCCTGTCTCAAAAAACAAAAACAAACAAACAAAAGAGTAACATCTTTTTATTAGTGCAGCTATAGGTGACATTTTGTTGTTGTTTGTCCTCATTCTACAGAAAAAAAAGAGCCAAAGCAGACACAAAACTGGCCCTGTGCCAGCTGGCTTCTACATGGTGGAGCCAGGAGTCAACCCTGTGTGTGTGTGTGTGCCTGGGCTTTTCATTTTTTCTGTCCACTGACTGAACTGAGAAATTCTGGCCAGCTCAAACCTGGCTGGAGCTCCGTCCATGCTCTCTGCCTGGCCCTATGTACTATAATCACAGCCTGTACTTCTGCAGTGCTGGGTGGTGCCCGTTCAATCTTTATGACACCCTAAGAGGCAGAGGTCACTGCTGGTGACCTGGTGCAGATAAGGACCCTGGCTGGGCTTTGAAGGCTGACTCCTAGCCTCATGTGGACAAACAGGAAGCAGAAGCACCAGCCCTCGCTTCAGCCTCTATAGCAGTGGATTCTACCATGCCCGGGTATCATCCCCATGGGGCCACATCTTTCCGCCGTGAAGATGAAGAGTTTGTGCGGGTCCAGCCCCGGCCACCAGCGTGCCCGCCCTCTGTGCCGGTTCCCACGCCCATCACAGGCACTCACTGCGGGTGCAGCTTGTACAGCGTCCCGTCCACACCCACGGTGACCTTGAAGTGCTCGAGCCCCTGGTCTTGTCTCCTCTTCTCCACGATGGCGGCCATGCCTGCGCCGCAGAGCTGAGCAGCCCTCCGAGACACGGCCCCGCACACCTCCTTCACCACGATGCTGTCTTCACAGGTGCTGTCCAGGCCCAGCTGCTGCAGGATCCTCCTGACCTGCAGCAGGGCCAGCCGGTCACTGTGGACAAGCAGGTCAGAGCATTAGCAGCGGCTTCCTGCACCTGGGCCTGCCTCAGGTGATCCGGAGTCTTCTGGAATGGGTCTTAGCCAGACGGATGCTGTCAGTGACTGAGGGTGTGGGATGTCAGGGACGCTAGGAAGTCCCATTACCTTTAAAGAGCAACATTCAAGCGCCCTTGTGTTAGGCTTGCTCTTGCCCATCTCACTAGGAGCTAATGTTAGGGTCGGCAACCAACAGACCAGATGTTTTCCAGGAGTCTGAGGTTCAGAGCACAAGAGGTGTCCTCTTAGATAGGAACCTCACAGCCACTTAGTGGTCCTCTCTTCCCATTCTGGAGGTCAATTTCCTTCTAATTGTTTCTTGCTATGTAGCCTCTGACTGCCCTGGCATTTACTATATAGCTCAGTCTGGCCTGAAATTCATGGTAACCTTCCTGCCTCTACTTCCTGAGTGCTGGGATTAAAGGTATGCGCTGTCAACCCAGCTGACTATATGCTCTTTGAAGAGGAAACTATGGCCTGGCGGCGGTGGTGGCGCACGCCTTTAATCCCAGCACTTGGGAGGCAGAGACAGGCAGATCTCTGTGAGTTCAAGGCCAGCCTGGTCTATAGAGGGAGTTCCAAGACAGCCAGGGTTACATAGAGAAACCCTGTCTCGAAAAACAACAACAAAAAGATGAAACTGTTTTCAGCAGCCACCTGGATAGTGCTGGGGATATTCAACGACCAAGTGACTAAATGAATCTATGGCACACACCGATGCCTTAAACAGTGGGAACGCTTCACCCAGGGACCCAATTGTTAACACAGACAGAATAAAAGACGCCAGTAGTCAGCCCTAATCGGGACATCTAGATCACATCCCATCCTCCCGAGGTCTAGATGTCATCTCAGAAGAGGAGGCAGAAATTTTAAGAAGCAGAGGTAGTGCATGACTGCTCCATCAAAACTGTTTTCCGGACAAGACAGGATAGCTCCTCTCCCCTCCTCCTCTTCCCCTCCTTTCCCTCCTCCTCTCCCTCCTCCTCCCCCTTCCCCTTCTCCTCCTCCTCTTCCCCCTCCTTCTTGTCCTCCTCCTTCTCCTCCACTAGCTCCTCCTTCCTCTCCTCCTCCACTTCCTCCTCTTCTGTACATTCTGCTGCTGGTGGTGGTGGTGGTGGTGGTGGTGGTGGTGGTGGTGGTGGTGGTGGTGGTGGTGGTGGTGGAAATGGAAAGTACCTTTTGTTTTTTTGGATAGGGTCTCATGTAGCCCAGGCTGTCCTAGAACTCATTTTATAACCAAAGATGCCCTTACACTTGTCTTTCTTTGCCTCTCAAGGGCTGGGATTCCAAGCACGCACCACCAGACCTGGCGTATGCTGCGCTGGTGATTGAACCATGCACGTTGTGCGTGCCAGGCAGGCACTTTAACAAAGCCACATGCCCAGCCTCGGAAGCCACTTTCCCAAAAGCAATGGACCCTGGGGGAGCGCTCCTTCTGTCAAATGTAAGTAAATAATTCATAAGCTGCAAATGACTGTGTGCAAAAAAGAGTAATTATGGTGTTGCTCAGAATAAGAAAATTTCATAAATTATAAGCTTGGCATCGCATACTAAAGGGAACTTTAGTAAATTACAGTATAGTAACAGGGACATTTCATGCAGCCATTCAAAACGATTATTACCCTAATGAGCTGATAAAGGGATGTTCTCTTTCAAGAAATAGTCTAATTAATGCTGACAGCATAAGATTCTCATAATAAGCATCAGTGAGTGGTGACAGTATGGGAAAAAAAAAAAAACCAAACAGACAGACCAAAATTCAACACTGAATCTGATCAGGCGTCCAGGGTAACTGTAAGATTTCCAGAAAAATGTAAGAGACAAAGGACAGTACTGAGTGCTATAATCATCAAAATCTGGAATACAGAAACTCGTAGGATAAGATAACGCTTCCTCCACTACTAAGCAGTTAAGGAAAATAAGGAAGGGAAGGACGCCCATAGAGTAAAATAGACTTTAGACATGCCAACCAAATAGAAAGGCCCCATTTGGCTACTAATGCATGCCAAACAACTGCACTGCTATTTGTTTTTGGTTTTGTTTGGCAATTTGGTAACAGAAGTCTAAGAAGACATTTTGGTTTTTTTTTTTTTTTTTTTTTCTTTTTTTTTTTTTCAGAGCTGAGGATCAAACCCAGGGCCTTGCGCTTGCTAGGCAGGAGCTCTACCACTGAGCTAAATCCCCATCCCCAATTTTGGGGTTTTGTTTGTTTGTTTTTGTTTTTTTCTAGACAGGGTTTCTCTGTGTAGCCCTGGCTGTCCTGGAACTCACTCTGTAGACCAGGCTGGTCTCAAACTCACAGAAATTTACCTGCCTCTGCCTCCCGAGTATTGGAATCAAAGGCCTGTGCCACCACCGCCCAGCTTAAGAAGCTATTTTGAGATTAAGGTTTAACATTAGCTTCTTGGGGTGGGATAATGGTACTGGGTTATGGTGTTGTAAGAGCTCCTCTTTTAGAAATGCATCTGAAATATTTATGATGGAGCTGGCATGGGTGTGGGCTCTGTAATTAACCTAGCCAGGGGCTGGGCCAGTAGGAGTGTGCGACAAAGCAGCTTTGGTGATGAGTTGACCTTTGTCGGGGGCAGTGACGGGAACACTGGTCCATTTCACCATTATTCTACTTTCGTAGATGTTTCCATTTTTTCCATAATACAAAGGGAAAGAGAAAACCAAAGCCAGGCATGGTAGCACACACTTGGAACCCCACCCAGCACTTGGGAGGCAGAGGCAGAGCTCAGCTGCACTACAGCTGTGAGGCCACCTGTATCAGACCCTCTCTAAAAGACAAACACATGAAACACAGAGTAAGTGAGATTTTCCATGATCTAACACTGAATAAATAATATGCAACTTCCATGTACAATGATGGCATGTATCAAAGATGTTTGCATGTATGAAGGAATTTAAGAGGGGACATCATTCACAAAACCCAAAATAGCTGTGTCTGGTAACAAGCATATGAGTGATTGTCTTTGTTACAGGCACGTCATCTTTTCAGGAGTAGAGCAGGGTTAACTTTTACCTAACTTAATTCCTGTGCCACCCTTCTGCAACCTCAGTAGAGAACCCAGTCCTTTCAATTAAGTGACCCGAGGCTAATCTCCACCCCAGGCAGCATGCCGTCTCTGGGCTGGAATCCGACGCAGGTGGGGAGTGCAGTGGACTGATGGAACTCCACGACCACTGGAGCCTTCCTGCACGCTCTCTCTTTCTCTCTCCAGGGTTTCATGTACTCTAGAATGGCCTCAAACTCACTATGCCACCAACGATGACTCTGAATTTCTCATCCTTCTGCCCCCACTGTAATGAGATTACAGCTGTGAACTGCTTTATGAAGATGCTGGGGATCAAACCCAGGGTATCACACATGCTAGACAAGCACTCTCCCAACTGAGCTACACCCCAGTCTTCCTTTCCTTTTCCAATCTCAAATCTCCCCAGCCCTGGGGGAAGACAGCCATCCCCTTCCCCAAGGCAAGCATCCCACATTAAGCGAGTCAGTTTGATCATACATTACCTTTCGATCTGGGACAGGAATTTGGTTTCAAAGATACCCCTGGTCCGGAGTCTCTCTGAAATCTGCCCTCGGAAGAGGAGCCCCTGCCGGGTGAGGTCAATCAGGATCTGCCTCACAATCTCCCCCAGGTACATCCCACTGGTCATTTTCTCATATCTGTTTGGGGGAGAGGGGAGAAGACCGATGAGGGCAGAAAGGTGGTTTCTGAGGACGCAGGTCTGGGTGTGGAAAGCACACGGGCACCTGAAGTTCCCGGGTCAGAGTGGCCCAGGGAGGCCCTTTCTGCGGTTGTCAAATAAATGTAATACAGAGAGAAGGTAGGCTCCAGAGCCACCGGGGAGGCAAGCCCAGCGTCCCACATCCCAGTCACATGGTGTGAGCCCCTCCTGGGAGCTTCGTCTGTAAACCAGGAGTAAGGCAGGGTTCTAAGGGCTGCAGGAGGCAGGCGTCACCCAGTGCCAACTTTCCCAGGCCTCTTGGTGCCTGCCAGCCTGTGCTGTTGGAGATCACCTCTGCTATGCTTATTTCATTCGGGGTTTGGTTTTGCGTGAGACACGGGGACATCAACTTTGCCTTTGAAGACATCTGTCCACCAGAGATCACACGCTACCAACACTCAAGAAGCGCTTAAGAAAAAAATTCCACCTTTTCTCTTTTCCACCACACTCCGTAAGGACACACAAGAGAAGGAAGGGGCCCAGGAAGCCGCCAGTGCCCTGAAGTCTCAGTCCACGGGAGTGTGATCCCACAACGCTCCTAACTGGGCTGGGGAGCCCGACTCCCACCACCACAGAGGCGAATGGAAAAAACACAATGGCACTGGGACCTGCGTGCCAGCCTCATACCCACAACTGTTCTAGGAACCAGCAGAGAACTGCAAAATATCACAAGGCAACTTGGTCAGGTCCAAAGGACAAATGGCTAACTGTGGTACCTAGCAGCACACTAAAGTACACGCTGGCCTCCTGGCTTCTCTCAGCTCTTCTCACCATGCCCCCTGCCCCAAACGTCTCCAGCACGTGGGCTTCCCTTCCCCCAGCTTCTCATCCTGTACAACCCTGCTATTCTGGCCATGTGCTTTCTTGGTCCTCTGCTCCCGGCTCTTGGTCCCCTCTCTCGGCCCTCTCTCCTTGCTCCTCTCTCCTCTCATGGCTCTGTTCAGACTATTGACCATGTCTACTACTTTCTCTCCCTGCTCTGAACCCTTCCAGCTGCCTCTGGCTGGACTCTCCCTCATATCTACAACCACACCTTGGAGCAGTCATGTCCTCACTACATTCAAAATTCCAGTTCCACTCTATTAAGCCATCAGTCCAGAAATACGAGCCCCGGCAGACAGACACAGAACTAAGTCCCAGACACTACCTCTGGGAAGAGCCGCAAACCGGCATTCAGAGCTAGGGTCTTCAACCCCTTTCTAATGTGGTGCTGAGGTCTGAGCTCAGGCTCTGTGCTGAACTACACCAAACTCTGCCACTGCGCTGCATCCTTAGCCTGAGGGCCCTTTGTTTAGAACACCCAGAGTTAGAACAGCTCACCCGCCACCCAGCCACAGAAATTGCCAAAGCAGGGTGAGGGACCGCCAATACCCATCCTGTCCTTGCTCAAGCCTCTTCCTAGACAATGTTCTCAGCTCAACAGTCCCCAAAGTGTCCTTGAACCCCTCGTCAGCACATTTCCAACCTGCTAAGCCTCTATTTGTTTATCAGCCATCATAATAAATCTGTTTCCTCTCGGTTTACACATGATAATGCCAAGCTTGACTGGGACAGAGACCATATGAGTCACAAAACCTACAACACTCTCTGGCCCTTGACAGAAAAGCTTCCCACCCTGTTCCAGGGGAAGGGCCCAGGCTCACAAACCAGAGACTAGTCACCAGCACTGCCCAGGTCTAGCCTCTGTTCCCCACTGCAGCCAGGATGCAGGTGGAAATCTACTCAGGTGTTTAGAAGCCGTTCATTATCTTTTCAGTAGTTACCATTTGAAATGTACCTCACCAAGGCATGGGATCCATGATAAGATGTGATACCATGTTGAGAGCCAGTCCTCTGTCCACCCCCTAGAGCTCACTGACCTTAAAAGGCTAAAGACCTTGACCTTCTAAATTGGACCTAGTAAAGCCCATCTGAGGGCCTTCTAGGTCACCATACCCCTGCTCTGTGACACCCAGGCACCCCTGCAAGCAGACGTTCTGACAGCTTCCGGCTGGCTTCCTGAGCCCCACTAGCCTTCACGGTGCCTAATGGTGACCAGGACAGTGACCTCTCCTTCCCTGTTAGAAACATCAAGATGGCCTTCTTTTTCCCGAGACAGGGTCTCTCTGTGTAGTTTTGGTGCCTGCCCTGGATCTTGCTCTGTAGACCAGGCTGGAAGATAGCCTTCTTTTATTCCAGGATGACCCTGCACTAACATCTGCTACAGAGGTGTCATAGACATAGACAAAATTATCAGGTTGATGCCACAAGAACAGAACTGCTCCCTGGGTTTGGCGAAACTGTTCCCCTCACCCGTGACAGACACACCACCGCCCGCCCTTCTCACCTCTGCTTGCCAGAGTTCAAGGAGCCCTCATCCACCTCCTTGTCATACTGGGTGCAGATGTCGTCTAGGCAGCCATTATCTCCAAATCCTCCCCACTCAGTGTTGATGCACATCCGCCCTTCGTCCCCCTCCACCAGCTCAATGTTCCTCATCTCCTCCATATAGCACACGTTGCTCCCAGTCCCTGGAAGGAATCACGGAGGGACTTTAGACCTCCTCAAAGATGACAATAGAGTTATCTAAGAGAGGCAGGTGAGTGCCATAAATAAGTTGGGGTCTGAGGCAGAGCTGGACAGGATTCCAGCTGTGTATTCAGCTGGCCAGTCTTAAGCAAGTACTCTATGGAGTTGTTATAAAGAAGAAAATAAGGCATTTGTATATTTTCTCCACAAGTTAAGTAGCCAATGAATGACACTTGCCACCTTCAGCATCCCTATCATCATCATATTCCCCATCACCACCATCAGCAACATAGTCCTCATCATCATCATTATCATCCCTCAATCATCAGCAGGATCAGCATCAGCATCATCCCATCATTAGCAGTATCATCATCATCATCATCATCACCACCACCACCACCATCATATTCCCCATCACCACCATCACCATAATTAGCATCATTAGTATCTCTAGCCACATCATCATCCCTATCATTCCTATCATCATCATCATCATCATCATCCCCATCATCATCATCATAATCCTCACAGCAGTAGCATTTGAATCATCATGACGCCCATCTTGCCTATCATCATCAATATCATCATCATCATCATCCCTATCATCATCATCATTATCAATATTATCATCATCCTCATTGTGTCTATCATCATCATGCCCAGCAGTAGCAGCCCCATAGCATACAAAGCTTCCAAGGAGCCACAGACTTAGTAGTTCGGCACTGACAAGAGCCATGAGGAATAGTCCAACCTTGGACAAGAGGACTTTTGGTATTGGGGAGCCATTCTTTCCCCCTTGCCCATGATCTGGCCCCAGAACTCCCACACAGCAGTCTAGGTACCTATCACATTCACTCACACAGGCCTCATCTGTGGAGCCTCCTGGATCTGACCAAATGTAGAGTTTCCTCTACAGATGAGGAAACTCGTGTGAATCAGAATACTTGGCCTGCTCACGCTCACGTGCAGGTGGGGGTCTGAGGGAGAACACTGAACACATACCCACTGATCTCCATTTGCCTGTCTTTCCTCTTGCTCTTATGCAGTGAGCCCAGACAAGCCCCAGAACTACATCTCCAGGTTCTGTCACCACTCATCTGTGCCTGTCACCTGGAAGGCCGTTCATGCTCATCTTCAGTCTTTAAAGCCCTCCTGTCCCCTTAGCCTCTCCAAGAAACTTCTCCCTCCAGAAGCCACTCTTGAATTTGGACCACTGCCAGACTACTTTTAAAAGCATCTAAAGGTCCTGTATCACCTCAGACCACTCCCTTCCTCCATCTAAGTTTCCTTTCAAGTCTTGCCCTTCACACACACCCAAAGAGCCAGAAGGGTCCAGGCAATGGCGAGGTGTGTAGTGGAGCCAGAGTCAGAAGCCAGCTCTGCGGCCCCAGACCACTGTGCCCCACAATGGCCTCCTTCCTTCAAGACACTTGGCCCCAGAACCACAAGTTGAAAGAAGAAGGAGTCTAAGGAAGGGGGTATGGTGATATGGTGTTCCCCAAAATATTGTGCACCCTAGTAAACTTATCTGGGGTCAGAGAACAGAACAGCCATAATACTAAACATAAAGGATAGGCAGTGGTAGCACATGCCTTTAATCCTAGCATTCCAGAGGCAGAAATCCGCCTGGATCTCTATGAGTTCAAGGCCACACTGGAAACAGCCAGGCATGGTGACTCACGCCTTTAATCCCAGGAAGAGAGGGGCTGGAGAGATGGCTCAGCGGTTAGGAGCACTGGCTGCTCTTCCAGAGGTCCTGAGTTCAATTCCCAGCACCCACATGGTGGCTCACAACCATCTGTAATGAGATCTGGTGCCCTCTTCTGGCCTGCAGGCAAAACACGCAGCCAAAACACTGTATACACAATAAATAAATAAATATTTAAAAAAAAAAAAAAAAAAATCCCAGGAAGAGAGCCTTTAATCCCAGGGAGTGATGGCAGAAAGCAGAAAGGTATATAAGGCATGAGGACCAGGAACTAGAGCTGGTTAGGCTTTTAGCAGCACAGTTCAGCTGAGATCCATTTGGATGAGAACTCAGAGGCCTCCAGTCTGAGGAAACAGGGTCAGCTGAGGAACTGGCAGGGTGAGGTGGCTGTGGCTTGTTCTGCTTCTCTGATTTTCCAGCATTCACCCCCATACCTGGCTCCAGGTTTGATTTTATTAATAAGACCCTTTAAGATCCTGCTACAAGGGGGGACACAGTGATGAGGGGAGACTATAAAGATGACACATTATATACGAGTATGAAAATGTCCACAACATGACAGAAGAAAACTTCTTTGCATATCTTCTCCATCCTCGATGGAAAGAATGCCCATGGCTTAGAGCCTTGGTGAGGAAGACATTAAGAGATTTGGAATTAGCCGGCCTAGAACCTCAGACTGCATCCACCTCTAGAGCAGCCTCTGGCAGCAGAGCAGTGACCCCGACCACCCGTCACGAGAATCAGACGGGACCTGGCCAGTGGGCCATGCTTGACCCTTACCTGCAATCAAGCCAATCTCACAATTGGGATCTTCATAGCCGCATGTCATCATGGTCCCCACCGTGTCGTTCACGATGGCCACTATGTCCAGGTCAAACTCCTGCAGAGGAAGCAAGGGTCTGCCCTGAAAGCAGTTCCATGTGCAAGGGGCACCTCGGGCCAAGGCAGACCGAGGCCTGTGCCACAGGGCCTGGGCACGGCATGGCAGAGCAGGGGAAGGGCCCAGGGAAGAGGGCAAGGTCCCACGTGCGCCTCCCCTCCCCACAGCCTACGTTTCTCCTCTTGATGGCTTCTCTGAGCATGTCCACCACGTCCTCCCCTTCACAGTCGGTGGCCTTGAAGCCTTTGGTCCACCCTACTAGAGTCCCCTGAAACAAAGAAGGGGACAGTCACCTGAACAGCCGTTCTGAGGATCACAGCAGCTCCAACAGACACGAGGGACTGAATCTGATCACAGGGGACGTGCGTGCTCTTCGCCTGCTTCCACCTCTACTGTCCCAACATGGCCCAGACAAGGGCTCCAGCCAAATGGGCTCTCCACAGCTCTGCACGGTCTTCAAGAGTCAGGTGTGTCCTTGCCACACTGCTACACAGAATCAGAGTCTGGAGTCAGAGCCGTCCCAGTTCTAAGGTGGCCTATGACAGCCTGAGGGGTCCTCAGAGGCCGAGTTATAAAATGTCAGTCCTGTCCGTCAAAGCGTTGTTAGACAAGGGGAAGCGCCACCTTGTCCCCTCAGCAGTATTGTGAAGATTTACTGTCTTATCCTTCGTTATCAGTGTTAATACAAACCAGAACAACCACACTGTCGGGAAACATGGCGCATTGGAGAACTGTGTTCATCCACACTTTTAAATGAAAGCCATTAAAACACAGGTAGAGACTTAGTCCACTTTTATCTTTAAAATAACAGAAATACTCAGCCTAAAAAAGGGTCGGGAACAATACATGCCCAAGGGGTGACCGACTATCTTTGGATCCAAGACTATGAGTGCATGTTTATTTTTCTATGTTTTCTAAAAATCAGTACACTTAATGTTCATGGTAGTATTTTAATGTTTAGAAGCTGTTACCCTGGTCTGGGACTTATCTAGCCCAGCTCTGCAGCATAGAAAGCTGGGGGTGGGAGCAACTGGCAGAGCTGGGGTGCTGGACCAGGAAGGGTGGCCCATGGGACCCCTGGCTAGACACCGTCTCACCTGAGGCCTTCGCCCATCAAGCCTGTCCTCAGGACACACTCGCACTGGAACACTTCTTTGTTATGAAGTTGCACCCACATAAAAACAATATATAAACTTTCGCCTTTCTTTTCCCCTGTGACCATTGGTAGCTTTGCTCCCAGCTGCCTGCCCTCTTCATCAGCCTCCTCTTGGGGTCAGGACAGTCATGAAATGTCAGTGCCTTGGATCAGAGGTGCTGCTGTGTTTGGGGCCCATCCACCATTCAGAATCACTAACAGCCACACAGCTCTTTCTCACACAGTCGATTCATTCTTTTTGGCTTTTTTGTTTGTTTGGTTGGTTGGTTGGTTGGCTGGTTGTTTGGTTGGTTAGTTGGTTGATTAGTTGGTTGGTTGTTTTTTTATGCTTTGTTTGGGGTTTTCTTGTTTTGTCTTGTTTTTTGAGACAAGGTCTCACTATGTAGCTCTGGTTGTCCTGATACTCACTATGTAGCTCAGGCTGGCCTCAACCTCACAGAGATCCCACCTGCCTCTGCCTCTCAAGGGCTAGGATTAAAGGCGTGTGCTACTACGCCCAGCTAGTCTATTCATTCTTTGTTTGTTTGTTTGTTTGTTTGTTTTTTCAAGACAGGGTTTGTTGCTGGAGGGCTTCTCTCCAGGTTCCCCAAGCCCCGCAGTCCCACAATCCACTTATAAAATAATCACTCAGACGCTTATATCACTTATAAACTGTATGGCCGTGGCAGGCTTCTTGCTAACTGTTCTTTTATCTTAAATTAACCCATTTTTATAAATCTATACCTTGCCACGTGGCTGATGGCTTACCAGAGTCTCTACATGCTGCTTGTCCTGGCGGTGGCTGCAGTGTCTCTTCCTCAGCCTTCCGCTTCCCAGAATTCTCCTCTCTCCTTGTCCCACCTACTTTCTGTCTGGCAACCTACTTCCTGCCTGGTCACTGGCCATCAGTGTTTTATTTATATAGAATGATATCCACAGCAAGGGTTTCTCTGTATAGTTTTGGTGCCTGTCCTGGATCTCACTCTGTAGACCAGGCTGGCCTCAAACTCACAGAGATCCTCCTGCCTCTGCCTCCCAAGTGCTGGGACTAAAGGCATGCGCCACCACCACCTGGCTGTCTATTCATTCTTAATGGCAGCAATAACATGAATGCATTAGACTTGTTTAAAAAAAAAAACTAAACTAAAATGTTACTGATAAGAATAAATCCCTAACTTCCCTTCCCCCAAGAGTTATTGCTACTGCAAGCCCAATGAAAATCCCTCCAAACCCTTTTCTCTCTGCTACATGTACTTTGAAATAAGCAAATTTATATTTTGTGTAAATTACTACCATTTGTTTTCCTTGCCTAGTGACACACTGGAGATCTTCCCAGATCACATAATGTGGATCCACTATACACTTTCACTGAGCAAAATAGTCAAGTATAAGTACACAGAAATTTGAAAACCCACAGACACGCCTACAGAGTAAGCAGAATTTCTGCCCTTATTTTATAAAGGTTTATTTATTTTTTAAGTCTGTGTGAGTGAGTGTGTATGTGAGTGAGTGTGTGTGAGTGTGTGTGTACACATGTGTATAAATGTGCAAGCACCTGTGTGAGTTTTTGTGCACCACCACCGTGTGTGTGCAGGTATCAAAGGGAGGAGAGGGTGTCAGATGCCCTGGGACTAGAGTTACAGACTGTCGTGAGCCACCATGTGGGTGCTGGGAACTGAACCTGAGTCCTTTGCCAGAACAACACCCTTAACTGCTGACTCAGCTCTCCAGCCCCTCACCTCGTTTATAAAACGAGGAAAGCAAACCAGAGAGGCTAAAGAACTTACCCAAGGTCACATCGCCAACAAACGAGAAGCCTGACAATACATCCCAGAGTCCGTGCTCTGAACTGCTGCCCTGCCCCCGCCCTCCACCCCACCCCACTCCAAGTCAGGTAAAGTTCCTGGAGAGCACAGAGCAGTGTCTGGCACAGAACTAGGGCTGTGGATGCTTCTGGTGTACGTACTACATCTCATTTAATCCAACCTCCTCCTCTTCCTCCTCCCCTACTCCTGTTCCTCATCATCATCATCATCGTCGTTGGTGAAGGGCAGGACGTCATGTAACCCAGGCTGACACTGAACTCCCTCCCCGCACAGCCAAAGTTGGCCTTCAACTCTTGATCCTCCTGCCTCCGTCTCCCAAGTGCTGGCATTACAAGCACGTGCCGCCGTTGACAGCTTGAGAAACGCATTTCTTAGGTTACCTGAGCTGTCTTTCGTTGGACAATAAAACCCTACAACTTCAGTGTCTCCCTGTCCCCTTGTGCTGTTCAGAAGCACACAAAAAATTTGTCCAGTTGTACTAATGACCTTCCCTGGTCATTACCTTCTCAACCCTCTCCATAAAATGATTGGACCCCTCTTTTCAAATACCGTCACATGGCTCTCCCTTATTGCAAACTAGGCCACACCTGAGAGGGCTCCTCCCTAGACCCAACCAACTTGTGGATGAAAAATACTCAGAAAGGGGCTAGAGATGGCTCAGCAGTTAAGAGCACTGGCTTCTCGCTCTTGCAAAAGGACCCAGGTTCGGTTCCCAGCACCCACCTGGTGGCTCACAACCACCTCGTAACTCCTGTTCCGGGGGATCTGATGTCTTCCTTTGGCCTCCATAGGCACTGCACACATGTGTTAAGTGTTCAGAAAACGGAACTGGGTCTGTCCTGATGTACCCGGACTCTTATCATTCTCCCCTAATGGCCAGCTCAGCATTTACATGGTGGGAAGTGATCTAGAGATGACATCACATATCCAGGAGGGTCTGTGCAAACACTATGCCATTCTGTAGAATGAACTTGAGCAACAGTGGATTGTGTACCTGTAGGGAGTGCTGCACCCCATCCCCTGCAGAGGAACGGACCATTAACTCTTTGGTGAATTTCAAAGCTCCGAATAAGGAGGAATGAAATGGGGTAAGCAGAAAAACCTTTACATGGTTAAAGGTTCCACAAGATGCATTCCCAGCCATGTGAACAGTGGCCTGGTGGTGTGGCTCAGTCAGTAGAGTGCCTGCCTAGTATACACACAGCCCTGGGTTCAATCCCCAGGACCATGGTGTACTGAGTATGGTGGTGCATGCCTGTAATCCCAGGACTCAGAAGACAGAAGCAGGATAATCAGAAGTTCAAGGTCATCCTTGGCTACATAGGGACTCTGAGGCCTGCCTGGGATACATGAGACCCTGTCTCAAAAACAAAACCTAATGTGAGCACAGACAAGAAGAACCTTGACATCGCCTCAGAGGACGGCAGCTCTAGGTGGGCTGCGTGCCTGGCAGGGCCATCTTACCTTGTCAATGCACGTCTGTCTGCAGGGAAAGGAGAAGGTGAAGCCCAGAGGCAGCCGGGCCCCCTTGAGGCCCATGTAGTCCAGGAAGTCGGCGATGCACTGCACGATGTGGTCGAAGAGCTACAGGCAGAGAGTGGCGTTCGTGCAAGGCGGGCCCTGGTGGGTGTGGCAGCCGGCCCCAAGGTGGGCGTGGCAACCGGCCCCAGGTGGGCGTGGCAACCGGCCCCCAGGTGGGCGTGGCAGCCGGCCCCCAGGCCCAACACTCACCTCCTCACCAGTGCCCTGCATGATCTCCAGGGGGATGGCAAAGATCTTGTTGTACATTCGCACCGACCTCCGCCCGCTTCTGATCTTCACCAGGAGAACTCGGAAGTTAGTTCCCCCCAGATCCAGGGCAAGAAACTTCCCTTTCTCTGCGGGGGAGAAAATGGAGGCTGCACCCCACCCACACATGCTGAGCGGGGACCCCTGTGGGGCACCTGGAGGAAGGATAGAAGGCCAAGCCCAGCAGAAGGGAAGCCTCTACTCCTGGACTCCTAGACCAAAGGACCTTCAGGCCCCAGCAGGCGCCTTGAACCAGCCTTAGGCCAGAGCATTTTCTTAGCTCTCCTTTCCCCAAGACCCATGCACCACCCATACCACCCACTGTTTCTGAGAAACAGCCTGGGCCTCTTTCCATGGCTACTGAAGAAGGAGGTGTGGTAGAATGTTATTTTAAGATGTGTTGCATTTGTTTATGCTGTGGAATACTTGTTTAGTGATGCAAAGATGTGTTGCATTCTTTTATGTTGCATTTGTGTAACTCTGTGAAGCTGTGGTACTTTGCCTGTCTAAACCACCTGATTGGTCTAATAAAGAACTGAATGGCCAATAGCTGGGCAGGAGAAAGGATAGGCGGGGCTTCATACAGAGAGAATAAATAGGAAGAAAGAAGAGTGAGCAAGAGAAAAAAGGAGAGGAGGATGCCAGGGGCCAGCCACCCAGCCACCCAGCCACCCAGCCAGCCATGGAATAAGAAGGAAAAAAATATATACAGAAATAGAGAAAGGTAAAAGCCCAGAGGCAAAAGGTAGATGGGATAATTTAAGTTAAGAAAAGTTAATTTAGCTGAGTGGTGGTGGTGGCTCATGCCTTTAATCCCAGCCCTCGGGAGGCAGAGTCAGGTGGATCTCTGTGAGTTCAAGGCCAGCCTGGTCTACAGAGTGAGATTCAGGACAGGCTCCAAAACTATATGGAGAAACCCTGTCTCAAAAAACCAAAAAAAAAAGAAACAAAGAAAGAAACAAAGAAAGAGAAGAAAAATTAATTTAAGTATATGAACACATACTTCCAAAATAAATAAAAGAAAAAAATGTTTTTAAAGGAAAACACCAAAGGCCCCTATCCCAGCAGAGGCTCCCGAGAGTCCCAGAATCGAGGCAGCCGCAGAGGACAGACTCCACTGCTCAGCGGTTTCCTCAGCTGAGCACAGAGGAGCAGCAGGACCTGGAGTTGGAGAAGTCAGGGCAGAAACCAGTGAGCAGCAAAGCCAGAGTCCAAACCAGCCAGCGGAGGCCGGGAAGACCCACACAGCGGAGCGTCCAGAGGGAGGAGGTTCAGGTGCAGCTTAGAGACTGCTGCAGGCTCACAGCATGAGGTCCATTCCTGTTCTCACCTGACTGGGAACACACACACACACACACAACACACACTCATACCACACCATACACATACACAACACACACTCATACCACACCATACACACACACAACATACACACACACACACACAACACACACCACACAAACACACACACACAAACACACACAACACACACACAACACACACACACACACACACATACACACACACACACGCACCACACAAACACACACACAAACACACACAAACACACACAACACACACACAACACACACACACACACAACACATACACATACCACACACACACACATATCATATACACACACACTACACACACCACACACACACACCACACACACACACATACACACACATACACAACACACACACAACACACACAACACACACACAACACACACACAACACACACACATACACCACACAACACACCACACACACACAAACACACACCACACAACACACCACACACAACACACACACAACACACACAAAACACACACACAAAACACACATACCACACACACAACACACACATACCACACACACCACACACACACACCACAATACACACATACCACACACACACCACACAACACACACCACACACACACACACACACACACACACACACACGGTTTAACCAAGTCTTGCAGCTCCAGAACTAACCTCTACCGACTGCCCCCTCTTCTCGCCCAAGGCTCTAACACGCACTGCGCTTGCGGAGTGTAGCCAGGAGCTCTGCACGGCCCTGTAGAGCAGGTGACTGCGCCAACCTACCTGTGCCATCAGGCATGCCATAGACATAGGTGGGGAGCATCTTCACCGTGGCCAGGGCGTGAGTCTCTTTCTTCAGCCCGTACTCTAGTTCAGTCCGCATCTTGTCCCGCACACCCACGAGCTGCTCCCGGGTCAGCTGGAACAGAGCCAGCACCTTGTCGATCTGCTTGCGCTGGGCCTGCACCCGACAGGCCACTGCGGTCACCATGGCGGCCCCCTTGGTGCTGCCGCTCTCTGACAGGAGGAAGCGGACGTCGCAGTTGGGGACCAGTCTCCTCACCACCTTGTGCAGGCGTTTGGGGTACCTGAAGGTAGAGGTGACCGTCAAGTGTTGCCCCGTCACGAAAGCTGGGTCCGGCCAGGGGGAGCAGACACAGGGCTAGTGGGCGATGGGTCCTGGGGGTCCTGCTTGTTGGGCAGTGTGGGGACGGACTGTGACAATGGGGGTAGTAGAAAGGACATTCTGGAAGCTAAGGGCATGTGCACGAGCAGTGTGGTGACAGATGTCACCTCTGCCCCAAGGGGAAGGACTTCCTTGCTCAGCCCTTCCTAGGGCGCACGCTCCCGGCTTCCAAAGCTGCCTCCGTTAGCTAGAGGGTCTTTCACTCTGGATCCACCCCCGCAAGAAATTTTCATTTCCCCACGTCTTCCTAACGTCTGCCATCACTGATTTCCTCCTCAATAACTAGGTTTTCCTGACTTCCCAGTCTTACCACTTGGTAAGTATTACCTAAATGGTGGAGAGAAAGATGACTAGATAGATGATAGAAGGAAAGGTAGCCGGCTGGAGAGATGGCTCAGCGGCTAAGAGCACCAGCTGTTCTCCCAGAGGTCCTGAGTTCAATTCCCAGCACCCACATGGTGGCTCACAACCATGAGATCCAGCGCTGTCTTCCGGTCTGCAGGCATACATGCAGACAGAACGCTGTACACATAATAAATAAATAAATCTTAAAAAAAAAAAATAAAAGAAGGAACAGTAGCTAGGTAATTAGGAAAATAAATAGACACACAGATAAGCAGACAGGCCGATGGGCATATGGCATATGGACACGAGAGCGATGAATAGTGAATGGACACACTGACGGATGTATACATGAATAGATAGAAAGATGAGTGCCCTTTCCAATCAGGCAATTGCTTAGTGGACTTTTTTTTTTTTTTTTGAGATGAGTCTTGCTGTATAGCTCAGGCTGCCTCAAGCTTGCTCTCTTCCTAACTCCTTACAGTAGAGTTCTCCATTGCTCCGAAGCCGCCACTGCCGGTCAACCCCTCCGAGTTCTGCAATTACGGATATGCACACCACATCCAGCTCACCTCTTTAAGAGTGACTCCCCAAAGCACCCAGCCAGCAGTGTAAATGCAGCCTCTGCTCACTCGTCTTCCCCTTGAAATCTTAGAACTAGTAAGAGGGGCTTGATTCTAGCTGCCCAGATGGGCAACACTGTCCTGAGGGAACACCAGGACTCGGCACCAGCGGAGACCCAGTGGTGGGGCACGGGCTGGAGGGTGGCACTCACTGAGGGTGGATTTTGTAGACGGTTCCGTCCATGCCCACTGTGGTGCGGAGCCGGGCCAGCTTCTTATTCTCTCGGAGGCGTGTCAAGATGGCTGCCAGCGCAGCCGCACAGAGATTGGCCGAGCGGAAGGAGACGATGGTGCACACGTGCTGGACTGCGATGCAGTCTGACTCGGAGGGGTCCAGGCCCAAATTCACCAGGATCTCTCTCGTATTGGCCAGGCCTTCTTTATACCTAGCCAGGGGAGAGGAAAGAGAGGCCCACACTGCTCCATGCCGTGGGCATGCATCCTCCTGGGATGTGGGTTCTCAGGGGTTGTGTGTGCGATCTCACAATAACATAGGAGAGCCAGTAATAACACCAGCACTGAAAACAACAGCTACCACTTACTAAGCACTTGACTCTAATTCCCCAAGAGATCTGTGACCCTAAAAATATTGCTAGTCTCTATTCAAGGGAAGAAGAAGGCAGGGGAAAAAAATGTGGCGAGAGGGTAGCTTCCTGATAGTGCAGCCCCTGGCTAAGGAAACCCACGAGAGTGTGACACTGAGCCACGCAGAAGCGTCCAGCTTGTCTGAAGCCATGCCCAGGACTGGAACTCCCTGCTGAGGAGGAAGAAGGTCTGGTTCCCACTGCTGTTCTGTCTCCTGAGCACATGGCGCTGTGGCCACCAACCCCAGCCCTCCACAGAAGCAGGGCAGGAGGAACACCCCACCCAGCAGCTTACTTCTCCATGGCAGCCACGTGCTGTGTTTCGATCTTGCCCTTTGTATGGAGAGCGGAGGATTTTGCACCCCCAAACAGGAGGCCGACTTTGGCCATCTTCAGTAAGATGAGCCTAACCAGCTCCCCCATGTACAGGCCACTGACCATCTTCTCGAACCTGCAATGGGATGAGCGGGTCAGTGGAGGCGACGCCTCAAGCTAAGCAGCATTAGTTCCCTGGCCGTGGGGAGCTGTTCCCGCTTTGGCCATGAGGAACCACAAGGTCGCTGACCTCCGCTACTTTCCTAAGCTCATTCGACCATGGAATGACAAGCCAGAGTTGATGCTTCCGACTCTCACACTGAGCTTTTGTCTCAGAGAACCTGGTGCTGAGATTTCAACCTGGAGTATCCTCTGGAGGCTGATTTGTCAAAGGCTTGGTCCTTGGCCTCTATGGCACTGGCAGGAGGTGGTGATACCCTAATGATGTGGGCCTCATTAAAGGTCACTCACCACTAGGGGCATGTCCTTGAAGGGGAGAGAGGGACCCCAGCCCTCTCTCTTCCCCTCTGTCGGTGTCACACCCATCGATGAGGTAAATTTCCCCATGTATGGTTTCTCCACCGCATACTTCCACCATAACATGCTCCCTGGCCACAGGTCCAAAAGCAGTGGGACCAGCTGGTCATGGGCCAGAAGCTCCAAAACTGTGAGCCAGGCGAACCTTCACAAGCTGCCTAACTCAGGCATTAGTTACAGTAACGGGAAGCTGACTGACTGACTGACTGTCAAGCTTGGAGAGCCCCAGAGAAGGTCCACCATGACATGGATGGAAGACCCCAGAAAGCAGCCCCTCCCCTCTGCTCCGACTCTCTGTACCAGACAACTGTTAATTGTTTCCTATATAATTTTTCAGTCTTCAAATACAGGAAGATACAAAATCCAGGACCATCTATTCATAACCAGCCTTGCAGACTGCAGTATAAAGTCTCTTAGACCACTGGGGCCGGAGAGGCAGCTCAGTGGTTCAGAGCACTTGCTGCTCTTCCAAAGGACCCAAATTCAGTCCCCGGTATCTCATCAGCCAGCTCACAACCTCCTGGAACACCAGCTCTGGGGGAGGAGGGGCCCAATGCCATCTTCTGGCCTCTGTGGGCACCTGCATTCACACTTACACATGTGGCATACACACACACACACACACACACACACACACACACACACACACAAATAAAAACTAATTTAAAAAAAAGTCATCTTAGAATGCTGAAGAAACAGAAGGCAAGCAAGGGAAAGTCAGGTTTGATTTAAGGGAGGGGAATTTCTTTTACATGAAGTGGATACAAATGAAAATGACAGTCTAGTGAGCACTTCAGCCTTGGCTTGTAACAGCTCAGTTACAGGGAAATCGGTGTGCGCAGGGATCAGGCACAGCCAGGGCAAACACAATGAGCCGCAGAAGATGCAGAAGGCATTGCGTGGAGAAAGGACCTCCAAGGCAGCTGTGTGCCGAGCCTGGAGGCAGCCCAGCACACAGCCACGAGCTGCAGAAGATGCCAGAGCTGCTGCTGTTCTGCAGGCCATGGCTGAGGCTCCCAAAGGGTGTGGCTGGACAGCAGACACAGTGGCTACTGTGAGATGAGGCCCTTGAGGATGTCGGGTGGCTGGGGAGCCCCGGGAAGCTCACACAGGAACCCCTGGGCAGGGCCCTGGCCTTCCTCTGTGTCCATTTGCCTATCTACTTGAAGAGGGCAGAAACATGTCATTTGGTTCACAACCTTATCAGTAGAGCCTTGGATACGCCAGAACTATGGACTGCCTAAGAACTGTGGTTATGACCTAGGGGACAGACTTGCCACGGGAACTGACTGGTCACAGCTAGAAACCTTCCCCGGGAGAGAGAGGGGCTGAGTGCACAGGGACTCCCCGGTGCCGATGCCTGGATGAACAAGGGGACACTCACAGTTGCTTCCCAGGGTTGAGTGATCCAAGGTCCAGCTCTCTGTCAAACTCGGTGCGGATGTCCTCCAAAGCCCCGTCGTCCCCGAAGGCCCCCCACTCGGTGTTGATGCACATCCTTCCCTCGTCCCCTTCCACCAGGTCAATGTTGCTCATGTCCTCCATGTAGCACGCATTGGTGCCTGTTCCTGGACATCGGGTCAGAGAGAACGCACAGAGAAAGTCACCAGGCTGGGGAAGCCGGGGAGAACTCAACTACCCCGAGTACTGGAAAATGCACGCAGGGAACTTTGACTCTGCCCCATTGGACTCATGGTGGGAACTGCTCTGGCAAGCCTGAGCTCGTGGTGAATGAGGTCCACAGGTGAGGTCTGCAGCTGGAGCCCACACACCTCAGGTCATGATGGTGTGTGGCTGTGAGCAGAGGCAGTTGTGAAGCCATCCCATGTGAATATGCACCAATGGCTTAAAAAAAAAAAGCATGCCACGGAAGAGAGGGTAAGCCAGGTAAGCAAGGTAAATCCTCGCCATCAGAGTACGTCCTTATGCTTTCCCTGAGCTACCTCATTCTTCTCTACTTGACCCGAAAACCGTCCTTAAACTTCTGTAGTTATGGGGGTGGGTATGTACGTGTGTGCATACAGGTGGCGGTGGAATCCAGAAGAGAGTGTCAGATCCCCTGCAACTGGAGTTACAGATGTGTGAGCCACCCTGTGTGGGTGCTGGAAATGGAACTCAGGTCCCCTCCATGCTCTCAAGGGCGGGGCCGTCTCTCAGGTCTGCTCACACCGTTCCCTCAGGACTCCATCACTGGGTCTCAGCAGAGGTGCATCTGATCTTCCATAGTCAATGTCCCCTAAGAGAGCCCGACTCTACTGCTGAGAACAAAATCACTCCAGGGAAACACACACACACCAGTACTTTTTGGACACTTTTGGGATAGTGAAAATGTTTTTTGTTTTGTTTTGTTTTTTGTTTGTTTGGTTTTTTTTTGTTGTTGTTGTTTTGTTTTGTTTTTTTGTTTTTTCAAGACAGGGTTTCTCTGTGTAGTTTTGGTGCCTGTCCTGGAACTCACTCTGTAGCCCAGGCTGGCCTCGAACTCACAGAGATCTGCCTGCCTCTGCCTCCTGAGTGCTGGGAATAAAGGCGTGCGCCACCACCGCCCGGTGTGAAAACGTTTTAAGGTTAGAATGAGCTGAGTGTTTACAAAGCTCTGGGAATTTATGAAAAAAAAAATCATTAAATTCCATACCTGAAGCAAGAGAAATTTTGTGTCCCAGTAAAGCTGCTTTGACGTTTCATCCCTCCACTCAGTCAACAGTGCTTTCCCTGACACCCTGGTTTGGGTATTTTAAATGGTGATACAAAGAAACGAGATGTGTAAACATGTAGACTATAATGTATTTGGAGAAGGCTTTTCCCGGACAAGTGTGGGACAATACTCAGGCTTAGAACTCAATCTGTGGTCCCAAACAGAGTCACCAAGACAGACAGAGGGGACATCAGCAGGGGATACTGTGATGGGCAGGGGCCTGCCCTATTATGAAGCAGGGATCCTAGAAGTGTGAGGTGCTTCAAGCTGCTCAGGTAGACAGACACCCCCTTCGGAAAGCCAGGTCAAGGAACCCCTTTTGGGAAATCAGAAACACCCCTCACCGGCAGAGAAACAGGAAGCGGAAAAGTGACTATTTGAGGGCAACTAAGGAACAACTATGGACTTCTTAAACTGTGGTTGTGACCTAGGGGACAGACTTGCTGCGGGAGCTGACTGGTCACAGCTAGAAACCTTCCCCGGGACAGGGAGGGGCTGAGTGAACAGGGACTCCCCGGTGCCGATGCCTGGATGAACAAGGGGGCATCATGGTGGCACGCGCGCGCGCGCGCGCGCGCGCGCACACACACACACACACACACACACACACACCTGTCATCCAGACAGGAGGATCATGAGTTCAAGGCCAGCCTGGTCAACAGATGAAACCCTATCTCAAAATATTACTTGAATGCATTCTGCCTCCAACTGCCTCCTCACAGGCTCCCCCAGCTGCTGGATGCCTCGGCAGCATCTAACTTTCATGGCTCAGGCCCCCTTTACACCTCATCCAACAGTTCAGTGGTCTCTGGATAGGTTGTCTACTTCTACCCTTGTCCTGGGAATTAGTCTCACAGGTGCAACCCAGTTGAGACAGGAACTCACTCTTAAACCCAGGCTAGCCTGAAACTCACTAAGTAGCCCAGGCTGGCATCAAAGTCATAGCAACCTTCCTGTGTCCAGCCCATGAGGGCTGAGATTACAGATGGGAACTATTATGTCCAGTTCAAGACAAGCTTCTCAGCATGCACAGAAGAGTCCAGGAGCTTCACTGTGTGCCAGCACCGAGCACAGGCCCAGCACACCACAGCATGAAGAGGCAAGAGTGGGAAGGAGGGACAGGGGATGGAGATGGGGGCAGGGAGGATGGATGGATGGATGGATGGATGGATGGATGGATGGGTGGATGGATGGATGGATGGATGGGTGGGTGGATGGATGGGTGGGTGGGTGGGGGGGTGGGTGGGTGGATGGATGGATGGATGGATGGATGGATGATAGATGGATGGAGGATGAAGGGAAGGAGGGATGGATGGATGGACAGAGGGAGGATGGATGGATAGATGGACAGATGGATGGATGGATGGATGATAGATGGATGGAGGATGAAGGGAAGGAGGGATGGATGGATGGACAGAGGGAGGATGGATGGATAGATGGACAGATGGAGGTATAGATGAATGAATGGATGGATGGATGGACGGATGGAGGGAGGATGGACAGAGACAGTAGGTTCCCTATCTCCCTGTGTTGCTTCTCCCAAAAAGTGGCAGCACCCTTCATATTTATTTAGATTTTGCTCAAACTCAGCCCCAAACTAGCCCCCTCCCCCACCTCCAAAAAACCGAGTCCACTTAGTTACCAATGATAACGCCGACTTCACAGCTGGGATCATCATAAGCACAAGTCATCATGGTCCCCACCGTGTCATTAACCAAGGCCAGGATGTCCACGTCCAGGTCCTGGTGATAGAAGGCCTCAAGGGTATCAGCATTAGGAAGCTTTAATCCCCCACACACACACATCACCCCAGAACAGTGAACATCACCAGACGCTGTCTGCAAGAAACAGATTTTGTCAAGGCTCAGGGTCTAGGGGAGGAGCTTTTGCTCCTGCATTGAGGGGAATGACTTCTGTAAAGGAGGACTATGGGACAGTCCCTGGTATCTGCCCCCGGGGACACAGTGGAAAACTTATCTGTCCCACATGGGGTTCCTGTTCTGTCCAGTCACCTCCAGTCATTACAGGTTCCCCCAGGTCTGGAGGCAAGAAGAAAGGCCTGGAAGGTGACATGTCCAACTGTCCCTCTGGGGCTGGGGGATCCTAATTCAGAGTGGCACATCTGCCACCATTCACCAGCTCAGCCAATGACGCCAAGAACAGTTCTTCTTCCCACCAGGAGACAGGCAGTTTAGGTTTTAAGTGTTTCCTTTGGGATTCTTTAAGTGCTTACTTTGGATGCTATATAAATAATTGTAAAATATCGTCAAAAAGTAGGAGTAGGGAGCAGAAGAGAGAACAAGGCCAGAAAGAGCGTTCTCTGGGTCCATTGGTATTTGTGTATTTGGTTGGTTGGTTGGTCGGTGGGTCGGTCGGTCGGTCGGTCGGTTGGTTGGTTGGTTGGGAAAACTAGGAATTGCCCCCAAAGCCGGTTGGTTGGTTGGTTGGTTGGTTAAGGAAACTAGGAATTGCCTCCAAGACCTGTGTGTGTGTTACCACCACTACATCCCAACCCAAAGAGGGAAGGTGGGGTTCAAACACAGCCCAAGTCCTCCTGAAGGCTGTGGGGACTGGGGATCCAGGAAATAAAAGGCTTTCTCTCTGTGGTCCTCTGGAAGGCCTGTCTAAACTGTGCTCATCCTCACTACAATGCGACAGGCCCACCCCCACCCAGTTCTCCTTCCAGGCAGGCCCGGACCAGGACCCCAAGCCCAGGAGTTAAGGACCGGGAGGCTCTGCACCCAAGTGAGTCTCTCACCTTGTGCTTTTTCATGGCCTTGGCAAGGCGGCCCACCACGTCTGTGTCCTGAACTCCCCGGGCCTTGAACTTCTTGGTCCATGAAAGCAGGAAGCCCTGTGAGGGTGTTTAGGTTAATGGAAGGGGGTGTTCAGGCTGGACTGCCGCAGGAAGACAGCCTATGCTCCGAGTCCCCATGGGTTCTCTTCTCTGAGCCCAATCACTCCGATTCTTTTGGATTTCATCTTGTTTCTAATCGATGCATAATAATTGCATGGATTTATGGGGTATAGAGAGGGCCTTCGGTGCACAATCCAGTCAGGGCAATCCGCATGACCACTACAAACAGCTATGAGGTTTTTGTGCTGAGATGTATCTAGATTTCAGAAACAAGTGAGATGCATGTAGTTTGTCCTCTGTGTCTGGCTTATGTCACTGACTTTAATGTTCCGCCACATTCCCACAAGTGACAGAATGCCATCCTTTTGGTGGCTGAATAGTAGTAGATCCCTGTACACAGGTGCCTTTCCTTATCTACTCATCAGCTGAGAGAGACTTGGGTTGATTGCGTATCTTGCAGAGAGATTTCTTTAATGTTGCCTTGGAGGAATATTTTAGTAATTGAGACAGCCTTCTTCACTCCTTTTATCTCAGTCCCGGGAATCACAGTTGCAGAACTCTGATTCATAGGACACTGGAGCCTCAGGTTTTTGTTTGTGTAACAGAACCACCACCCATTCCCCCCTACCCCCCCCCCACCTCAGACTGCATAGGGAGATAGCTCCTCTCAAAATATCCCGGGGTAGGCTATTTGCAGTATGTGTAGAATGCATGATTTCCATGATTTGCAGGTCCCCAAAGAACTGACATGGTGTTACCTTATAATAACTTCCTGAGGAAACCTAATTTCTTTCTTTCTCTTCCTTCCTTCCTTCCTTCCTTCCTTCCTTCCTTCCTTCCTTCCTTCCTTCCTTTCTTTTTAGATTTCTTTATTTCTTTATATATGTATGCCTGCACACCAAAAGAGGGCACCAGATCTCATTACGGATGGCTGTGAGCCACCATGTGGTTGCCGGGAATTGAACTCAGGACCTCTGGAAAAGCAGCCAGTGCTCTTAACCTCTGAGCCATCTCTCCAGCGCCCCCAGAGAACTTAATTTCTACTTGGAAACATGGTTCTTAAGTTGAATGAATGCTCAATTATTTACAAACGGCATTTTTCATCTGGAATTACAGGGTTTTGTTTTGTTTTCAGATGAGAAGAGAACTTGGAGGTGAACAGAATGGTCCAAGTCCATCCACCCAGTCGGGAGCAGCTAAGCCCAAGCTCACAGACTCTAGACGCCCCCTTTCCAGTCCCCTCGGTTATGGACAAAGACATAGAGACAGGAAATTACTCTGGGTCTCCAGTCAGACCTCAGAACTCAGCCCCATGATCAGCCCCAAGGTTGTTTTCTGGGCCACACTGCCACTGTGTGGTCACTGCCACCAACTTCTGCCTTGGTCGGATCAGGCAACCTTCTGGCTTCACCAAACAGAGAGATGAAATGGCTTTCTCCCTTTTAGGTGCTAGAAGCAGAGGCAGGCAGATTGCTGTGACTCTGAGGCCAGCACTGCATCTCCTGAAACCCTAGAGATGTGCCCTTAGGGCCCACCGCAGACCCGTGACTACAGGGCCCAGCAAGCCCTCCTGAGAACCACCTAAAGCATTCTGCCCCGTACAGTATAGCACAGAATCAAGGCCCTGCATCACCCATCTCTCTCTCTCTCTCTCTCTCTCTCTCTCTCTCTCTCTCTCTCACACACACACACACACACACACACACACACACACACACCACATACACTAGCAAAAAGCGGAGAGAAATACCGACAAACCAGAATTGCATACTGCTCCCTCCCACGTGTCCACGTGCCCCAACCCTCCAGCCTTACCTCCTCCAACTTTGTCTGTCTGCAGGGAAAAGAAAAAGTAAAGCCCAGAGGCAACTTCTTCTGCGTCAGGTCTTTGGTTTTCATGAAATCTGCCAGGCAGTCAGCCACGTAATCAAAGAGCTGAAGGAGAGAACATAAGCACACGCTTAGGGCGCCGTCTCCGGGGCGGTACCCAGGCCTGCCCCTCCCGCCGGTACGTACCTCCGTGCCGTTCCCGCGGATGATCTCATTAGGCGTTGGGTAGAACTGACTCTCCATTTGGACATTCTGCTTTCCCTCTTGAGAGACTTGCACCTTCAAGACCCGAAACTTGGATCCTCCAAGATCCAGGGAAAGGAATTCCCCGTTTTCTATTGAGAAGACAAAACTGTCACCATTCCGTAAAGATCTCTCCTGTGACACAAGCCAGACATACAGCAGGTGCTGTCCAAACTCACAATACCCATGGATTAGTGTCATTATTCCACTTCCTTGAAGGTTGGGGAGGATGGTCTTCAGTCTGCACCGTGCAGGAGGGGGCAGAGCCAGGGTGTGAACCCACCCTGCCCCACTTGCTCATGCTGGAGAGAATGAGCAAGTTCACCGGGAAAAGGCACATGGGAACCCACTCTGGGATGGGGTCTGAGGAATGAGCCTTGAGCGTGGAGCTTATTCTTGCGTGCTGTATCTAGGAAGAAAGCTGTTGCACCAATCACACGGGAAACTCAGATAAAGGCAGGAGGAAGAGCAGAGCGCAGTCCAGAGAGGCTAGCCTCACACAAGCCTCAGTCCTCAGAGGGAAGCACTCCGTGAGGAGAGGGCAGCAGGGACCAGATGATAGACATTAGTGCACCAAGGATACTTAATTGGGGGGGCATAATCTCTCCAACAGGAGCAGACGGTCCAGCACCCAGCCTGGCCCCAGAAGGATGCTTCAAAGGAAGATACAGAATGACGCGTGTTTTGGGGAGGCACCCCACCCTGATGACACTGCTGTTAGCTACATGGATGGGAAGTTCACCTCCTGACATACGCAGGTTTATGAAGAACAATCTACGCCTGCGGAGTGGTTTCATACACCAGGCGTGCACATCGAAGAGAAATTCCATGCCTGCAAATGGCAGGGTTTGATGTCAGACCGTGGCAGCCTCAGTTACCTGTATATCAAGGGTCAGCTGGAGAGTCTGTCACTCCTAGTGAACCGTGAGCTCTAATGCAGAAGAACATCTCCAGCAGACGGCAAAAGCAGAAGACACAGGGAGGAAGCTCACAGGCCCAGTCCCCCCAAGCTGAACGCACAGAGGTCCCTGCTTTAGGGTCTCCATGAAATTCGGTGTGCCTGCCTCTCAGTCCCCACGTAATTGCACAACAAATATGTCTGGACTTCGCTCCAGAGGTTTCTCTATTCTGGCAATCCCAGGGTTAAAGGCTGAGAACAGGGCTGTGCAAACTGTCACATTTGTACCTCTCTGGGAACCTAGCTTGCAAGCAGCTGTGACGGTGGAGGGGCCTGCAACTCTGCATTTCTAAACACGCCTCCAGCTACCCAAGGTGTCAATCATTTATAGATCGGGGCAGCTGGATTTTCATTTCAGAAAACATCTAGAGATGATCTCCTTTGATTAGCACTGAAAGGAGCCCAGGGGAACCGTTTAAGGTCTCTTCCTGGGTCAAGGAATCCAGGCACAAAATCCTACTCGCTTATCACACCCATCCCAGCAAGAGGTACTCTCGCTGGGTGTATAGTACCAGTGTGGACGTCATACCCGCATTCACAGAACATCTACTGCATATCAGTGTCAGCTACCGGCCTCGGGAGGGAGGCCGAGAGGACAGGGTGTGAGCACCCTGGGGAGCTTATCAGAAGTCCAGTGCTAGATAGGGAAAATGCTCTGCTTGGGAAGCACAGGGGAGGTGAGAGCCGGCAGCCAGCTCCCCACGGAGCTAAGACAGGGCGGAGTGTGAAGAGGCAGCCAGGCAGGAGGAGCGTGTGTCCCAGGGATGGAGGTGGGGTAGGGGAGTGAGGGGAGGGGGAACGGGTGGGGGACTAAAGGGTGTAGGGGGAGAGTGAGTCACAGAAGGTGACAAGAGCCAGAGAGAGAGAGTTTAAAGAGGGAAGGCCAAACCTGATGAGAATTTGGAAAAAAGGCCTCTCCAGCCAGAGGGGGTTTGCCCCGCTGCAGAGATGGGAGGTGGCAAGCCGAGAACTGGTTGGTGCTGGTTCCTCCCTCTGCCCCACATCACACCCTTATCGCTGTGCAAACACCTTGCTCACCGGTGACTCAAGATGTCATTTCAAGGAAACCATGTGGTATTGTATGATCCCTTCCACGTGATGTGACGCTAACCCCTGAGGAATGACTTCCTGGACCCTGGGGGAGGGAGGCCCTGCCCAGGCAGAGCAGGAGAACGGGGGTAAGAGGGGCCTCGAACAGAAGAGCCTCCGTCTGTGGGGCTGCAGAGAGGCCTCAGTTGGTAAAGCGATGGCTGCACCAATATTAGGACCTGAGTTTGGTCCCCAGGACCCACGTAAAAAGCCGGGCACAGTGGGGCATGTCCCATCGCTGGGGAGGCAGAGGCTAGAGGATCCCCGAGGTCTAGTGGCCATCCAGCCTCGTCAATCAGTGAGCTCTAGGTTCAGTGAGAGAGAAGGTAGAGAAGCAGTTGAGGAAATCAGCTGATAGCAACCTGTGACCTCCCTACTCACAAACACACACAAGCACACACACACACACACACACACACACACACAAAAATAGCCTCCTAAGACAGGGAGGTCCTCGGAAACGGGGTTCCCTTCCCTCCACCACTGCCTGTGACTCAGCTCCTTTCCCATTTCCCATACAGTGTCCCCTAAAAGCACCCTGTGGCCAAATACATAGATTTCTGGAGACCCACATTCCCCAGAGAAGGGCTTGGGAACCATGTCTAGGAATTGCTCAGGTGCCTTGGCAAGTATGAAACCTGGGTCCTGTGACCCCACGGTCCGTCAACATGGTCTGAGTGAGCACATCGGGGCTTTAAGACTCACCCTGAACCCCAACAGAGGGTGGAGGCCAAGGCCAAGGGGAGAGCCCGCCTCATAGGATCCAAGGATCACACCTTTACTGTCCTGAAATGGGTGTGTCCCTTGCCCTGTCTGGGTGGCTGGAGACGAAGCAGAGGCCACAGAGCACTCACTCTTAGGACTTTTGGTCCTAACAAAGAATGGTCCATGTTCGCTTCCTGACCAAGAGACTGGGAGGGCAGTGAGGCTCAGTGGGTCACCCCTCAGGCAGGCTGAGAACGAGAAGTACCAAGGACAGGTAGACCCAGGAGGTTTACGGGGAAACAGGATACATTTCTGAAACAGAAGCCACAAGGATTAGAAGTTTATTTGTTTATCGGAGAACTGGGGACAGCATTTACAGGAGTGTGTGTGTGTGTGTGTGTGTGTGTGTGTGTGTGTGTGTGTGTGTGTTGATACCCACATGCCACAGCACATGTGTAGAGGGGTCAGAGGGCAGCCTCAAGTGCTGGTCCCCTCCTCCCACCCTGGCTGCAGCAGGGTTTCTTGGAGGCGGCTGTGCACACAGGCTAGCTGGCCCAAGCACTTCCAGCATTTCTCCATCTTTCTGCAAGAGCGCAAAGACTGCAGATGTGCGCTGCTGGATCAGGCTTTACGTGGGTGCGAGGGATCCGAACTCACTTTTTGGCAGCAGGTGCTCCACCAACTGAGCCATCTCCCCAGCGCCATTTGAGAGACTTCTAAAATACCCCAACCGACCCAAGTGCCGGGGCACACACCTCCATCAGCCTGATCTATATATCGGGTTCTCGGCCAGCCGGGACTACATAGCAAGACCCTGCCACGAACACATACTAACACACATACACGCTCCATTCATAGGATCTCATCAGATGTCAGTGGTGGGGCTCGAAAAACAACACCCTGAGGGCCTGGAGGGAGCAGGAAACATGGGAAGGACTTGGCCTGAGGTGGCCCTCGACTGCCTCTCATCCAGATCTGCCAAAGAGGCACATACTTGACTGCTTCCCTCCTACTGAGATGTCACCAGCCAAGGAAGACTAAACTCAGACCACAGCGTTAGAGACTGGAAATCAAACACCAGCATCTAAAGACACGCCATCCCACGCTTGTACGTGCTTTTTGTGGTCACTCATGCCCACCAAATCGTTTACAACCCCGGCACTTTCTCTGTCCCCTCCAAGGAGGGTTTTAAGTCACAGCCAGTTGGCCCTCTTTTGAGTTCTGTGTGGCCGGCCCATGGCTCCTGTGCAGTGGACACATTGGTGAAACCACAGGATTCTCCTGCGGCTGTCTGTCTGTTGTCATTCAATTCAGCAAACTTAAAGACTCAGTCTTCAGGAGGAAGCAGACGGTCCCTTGCACTGACAACCTGCAAATTGGTGCGCTGCTCTAACTCTCCTGATGTGGACCACAGAACAGTAGCTCTAGCATTTACCAAGGGCATCTGATCATTAGAGACTCTGGGTCCCGGGACCTGAGAGACACAGAATTGCATGGCACTGTACCATGTAACCAGAGGTCATCAGAGGACAGCGACGCAGGGTGTGTGTCTCCTAGGTTGAAGGGAAGAACGCTGGAGAACTTGAGTCTCATCTCTCAACGTTCTGAAGTAGCCCCACAGCCACCAGCCTCCCCAAGGCCACTTTCCCCTGCTCCGGAGCCACACCCAGCACAGGCTAGGAGGACTTAGCCCTGGAGCTCCTCACCACCCACACACACCCCATGACTCAGGTGTCCAGGTGACCCGGGATGACCCGTCAAGGACAGCAGCCCCCGCAGCACTCTCCTCTGTCAGAGGCAGGGCCCAGATTTCAAAGTAGGGTTCTGACGCTTCAAATCCTACGTCCCTCTAGGTCAGTGGTTCTCAACCCATGGGTCGCCACCCCCTCGGGAGTCCAATGACCCTTTCACAGGGGTCGACTAAGATCATTGGAAAGCACAGATATTTACATTATGATTCCTAACAGTAGCAAAAAAATCACAGTTATGAAGTAGCAAGGAAAGTAATTTTATATTTGGGGGTCATCACAGCATGAGGAGCTGTATTAAAGGGTCGCAGCGTCAGGAAGGTTGAGAACCACTGCTCTAGGTAGTTGGGATACTGGCCACAAGCACCCACCTGCAGGAAAGGATGCAGTGCCTCCCCCATCACTGTCTCTTGGGCCTCTCACCTAACAAGACAAGCTACTCTGACCCAAGCATTGCCCGCAGAATCCTGCTAATCCAATCGAGGTCCCCTAAGCAGGCCACAAGCTTCAGTCTTTGAGCCTTCCTCTGAGCACTGACATCCTGAATCTGGGGGAGCCTCTTGCTTCCCAGTCAGATCTAGCAACAGCAGTCCCCCCATGATGTTCTAGGAGGATCGTATGATAGAGAGACCCCAGTGTTCCACGACGGCACTGTGTGCTCAAGAAAAAAACAGCACTTCTCTTTTCTCTTATGGCCGAAGGTGGAGAGCTGGGTGGGAGCTCATGGATCCTTCCAGGGAGCACTTGGCTAAAATGATTGGAAAATAGTATCTTCCCCTCACCCCCACCTCTCCGCCAAGTCCACATCCTAGTCCCTGGGTCATAGGCCTATGTTAGAGCACACGGCAAAGGGAATTAAGGTTGTAGGTTGCAGGCACAATCAGAATCGTCATCAGCTGACCTTTACGTTGAGAGATTAGCCTGGATTATCTCAGTGGGCCTGGTGTAATCACAGGACCTTCAGATATGGAAGAGGAGGCAGAGAAAGATCTGAAGGCACGCTGTTAGCCTTGAGGACAGAAAGGAGCACAGGGCAAGGAATGTGGGTGCTTCTAGAAGCTGGAAAAGGTAAGGAAACAGAGTTCTGCCTTGACTGCCCCCCAGAGTCCCCAGGAGGAACACAGCCCTGCTGACAACTTGCATTTAGTCCAGTGAGACCCATTTCAAACTCCTGACTTGGTGAATTGTGGCAGAATATGTATTGTGTTAATCCACAAAATCTGTAGGAATGTTACCAGAGTCTCCGGAGACCACGTTTAGGAGCTGCCACAGGTGGGCAGATCTTATACTCAGGCAAACATGGAACCTAATGGAGACTGCTGGGACCATCCATCACCTGAGTCTGTATAGACTACATCAGAGTTCCTGGGCTCGTCCCTAAGGACAGAACAGCAACAGAGACCCAATTGATAGGAGCTGAGAACGTGGCTCATTGATAGGGACTTGTCCAGCATGGCCGAGGCCTTGCGTTTGGTACCCAGCCCAGCGTGTGGATAGGCCAACTCTCTGACAGATAAGGAAACAAGGCTAAGCACTGACTGAAGTCACTACGCTGTGACAGAGCTGGGCCTGGAGCCCAGAGTCTTGGATGGCCACTTCATATTACTTCACCACATACTTCCTTTCACTACTTACTATTTCTAGCCTGGAATCTAGAGGCCTAGGACAGCAGGCCACATACCATTCATTCAACACGTGTGCCAAGGGCAGGTATTTGGTAAGTGCTCAGAACAATATAGTAGCTAAGCCCTGGCTTCTGGACACTGTCACCCACAACTGTGACAAGGGTTCTGATAAGTCCCTACCCCAGTGTGGGAACACTACCTAGAGAGAGGTAGTGATTGATCTCGGGCTGCATCTGGAAAATTAGGGTGCCTCTCACGGGGGTAAGAATGGGGGACTCTGCAGCAGGGGAGCAGATAGAATGAGCGGGGTCACAGTGGGCAGAGGGAAATCCAGGGATCTCTGCCTGTGGACCCCAAAAGTGTTCGGGTGGCAGGACTGAGGCAGAGAGAGGAGGGGAGGTTGGAAAGGGATGGGGACAAGCAATAGGTTATCCATCAGCTTAGGAGCTGGGGTGGGGTGGGAGGGGTCCCGGTCACCCTGAGCCCCACTCACCTGAGCCATCTGGAATGGCCCTGACGAACGTGGGCAGCATCTTCACTGATGCGGTGGGGTTGGTATCCTTCCCCAGGCCTTTCTCCATCTCAGCCTGGAACCGGGTCATGATGTCCACGAGGGTCTCGTCTGAGAGCCGCATGTGATACAGGAATCTGTCCACCTGGAACAGACGCAGGGTTGGCCAGGATTGGCTCCTGGGGGTGCTTGCCCTCCCAGCTGAGGCCGTGAACTCCTGACTCCTGAGGTCCCTCACAGCGGGGACAAGGCAGGGAGGTGGGAGAACGGAATGGGAGACTAACGCAGGGCAGATCGATTCCTCTGAAGGTGGAACTGTGGTAGAAGCGGTTCCCTGTTAACAGTTGGTGGGGGGTGGTACTTAAGCGTCTAATCCCAATCCAGGACTCTCACCATGTACCACTGTCTCTCCGCTAGGAAGATTAGCTACGTCTCGAATCTCAGGTTCCTACACTTTTCTCTCTCTCTCTCTTTTTTTGTTTGTTTGTTTTTGTTTTGAGACAGGGTCTTACCATGCAGCCAGGTAAAGCAGGGTAGCCTAGAACTTGCTAAGTTGCCCAGGCTGGCCTCCAACTAGTGATCCTCCTGACTCTGCCTCCTGAGTGGGATTACAGGTATGTGTCACCTGTAATTACAGGTATGCTTGGCTGACCGTGGAAGCTTTTCTCTATCCAACCAATATATCGAAACCCATTTCTCTTTGCTTATTGGCTGACAGGAAGTTAGAACTAGGTTTTATCAACAACCGGAATCTTTCTCTAAATTTCTATTTAAATCAGGTAGTGATGCTGTCCTAATGCAGATGAAGTGTTGTTTTGCTTTTTGAGATAGAGGCTCACTAATTAGAAATATTATTATTATTATTATTATTTTGGTTTCTTGAGACAGGGTTTCTCTGTGTAGTTTTGGTGTCTGTCCTGGATCTTGCTCTGTAGACCAGGCTGGCCTCGAACTCACAGAGATCTGCCTGGTTCTGCCTCCTGAGTGCTGGGATTAAAGGCGTGCACCACCACCACCCAGCTTATAAGTTTAATTTTTAAAGCCATGTCAAAGCCTGGCATGGTGGCACCTACCTGTAATTCTAGCACATAGGAGTTAGAGGTGGAGAATCAGGAGTTCCAGGTCAGCCTTAGCTATATAGGGACTTCAAGGTCAGCCTGGGCTACACATAACTCAAAACACAAAATCAAATCCTGTCCACTTGCTATTGGAAATGCGATGTCATTTAGCCAGGATTATGGCAGAGGACCACTGTCGCAAATGCCAGAAGTTATAAAAATCACCTCGGTGTGTTGAGTCCCCTTGATGGTAACATGTCACAGTAAAAATGGCAGTGGAGTGTCTCAGTCAATTGCTGATGACATTCTGTCATCATTCTCAGGCTCATGAGAGTGGATTACAAACCAGCAGGAGGAAATAGCTTGTTACATTCACTGGGCACCATCTCCTCCCATCCGGGTCCCAAGGAGGCCTGATTCCAGGCGCACTCAAGAAGACACTGTCCAAGTCAGAGAACATGTTGCATTCTTCAAAGTGTTGTGCATGTCACCCCATCAAACCTCCATGACCCTTTAAGATGTCTAGGTAAGGTCAAGTTTCCGTCCCTAGCAGAGATGAGGAAGACAAGGGTCAGAGCCCTGTAGAACAGCAGAACTGGAGTATTGCCCTCCCTAGCTCCACAGAGAGGCAGAGAGAGGCCCGAAAACTATCAGAGGCCCACCAACAAAAAGAGGACAATTGAGCTTTCAGCATATTTGAGGAGATAGGATGTAACCAGGTCACGCTTCGTTAGGGCTTCCTGTCCGGCTGTTGATGACTAATTGGTTGGCACCAACTTGTACAAATGGAGAAAAGTGGGTAGAAAGGACATGACCCAAGTAACTGGGGCAGAGGAAGGATGGAACGACCTATGAGGGAACTCAACTTGGTCCTTTATTGTCCTGCCAAAACCCAGATAGAGCCCTGAACCTACTGCTCAGCCCAAGCACAAAGCTTCTCCAGACGTCCACAGGCTGCCGCCTCCCAGAAGGTTGGGGGCGGGGCATGGGTGAGCTGTCAGTCATGAGCACCTTCAGTCACTGCTGCTCTTCCACGTGAGCGTCAGTCAGTCACGGGAGAAAGAATGTCAACTTAGCGGGTTCTTGTTTATTCTTTGTATCTTCCTAAAAACAGTGAGGTGAGGCATCATGTTGGGATGAAAAAGAAAAAGCAGCGTCTTCAGTTCAGACAGGTTGTCCGGGCCTGTGTAAACAGGACACATGTCCCAGGCACAGGGACACGAGTGACAGGAGGCCAAGCCGCTTCCTCAGACTTCCAACCAACAGGGACTAGGAGAGGGGACCAGCGTTAGAGAGCCTTGAGGCTCCAGCCTTCTTGGTTACAGAAGGAAAGGGCCTGAGGGCCGGAAGAGCACTCAGTCCAAAGGTCTCATGCTATGAATTGAACCATAAACGGGCTCCACACTTTGGCCTAATGATTTTACTTCTGAAAATTCATTCTCAGAAATTGACCCCAATAGGGAAAATGATAAATATATGCCACTGTTCATTGTAGCGATTTTTTTTCCCATTGAGGGAACTTGGTTTCTATGTTGGGTTAAATCAGAAGCAATTTCAAGGAAGAACCTGAATATTCTTGTTTTAATACAGTAATGTTTTAATTGTTAAATGTTTTTGAAAGTTTCCAAATAGCGGACAAGAGGGAAAAGTGAAATGTTATAGCGCATGTGTACTTAACGGACGATGAGGAAGACACTGAAAGGTGATCATGTAGATGACAGAGAAGTGTGGACAGAAGGTAGTCCCAGCCGATGCACAATGCCCGCCAACCTAACTGTAAAAACACACGTGAGCAGAGCACAAGGCTGCCTACAGAGCACACTTGGGATCTGAAGAAATTCAGGGTGACATTCAAGTTAACATCTCCACATTTTTGCAATGTTGACTTACTAAACTGTAAACACACACACACACACACACACACTCTCACTGAAAGCCCAATCTGTCCTGTTCTTATGAATGAACCATCTGTGGGTCAGTGACCAGGTCCAACCCAGCATTATCAATAGGTCAAATATGTCAATATGCTGAACTGCAAATCAATGTCAGACAGTGGCCTTCTTTTGGTCTTAATGTCATTCTGAGATTTCCAAACATGGTTCAAGGGTCTGACGAGTAATCTCTGCAGGCAAGCATGTCCCAGGACCTTGTCAACTCCAAGCAGGAAGTGTGCGCACCGCCGGGCAGGAAGCACGGGGAGAATCACCACTCCGACAATGCCCTTTGCCTTGTGACAACTGGTTTTGACCTGTGGAGGAATGTCCTCCAAGCTGTGACTCGGACCAACTACCAACCAGCCTACCCACAAGCCAAGGGACTGCTGGGTCCTCGCTTAGGGTGGCTTCCTGGGATTTCTGACTTTCTTGTTTTCCATGGTGGGGGAAGGAACTCAACCCAGGAATTGACCAAGGCTGGCCCTTTTTGCAGATGGGTCTGGTATACACCAGTGGAGCCTGTGTTTGGGTTGGTGGACAGACGTGCTCCAGACTTATCCCAGGCTAGACCATCCAGGCCAAGGAAATGAAGTGACTTTGCAAAGTAAAGGTTCCAAAGTTTCCAAGACTCCCTTAGGGGCGGCATCTCTGCCACTCAGGGAGAAACTAAAGTGAGCTCTGAAGCAGGGCAGCAGAGGGCTTTACACTCCTCCAGCAGTCAACAAAGGACAGAATAAAATAATTGTTAAAATGGAGGCGTTTCTACTCTCTGGCTTGCGGCTGGCTCTCCCGGGAATGCAGTCAGAGGGAGTTCACTCACCAGCACGGGAGGGCTACGAGGGACCACACTCTTCTCTCTCTCATTTCAAAAAGCATTTTGAAGGCTACAAGAGGCCTCTGCCAATTTCAGCTTGATCCTCGCTTCACTTTGAATGCCTGGATGACCTTGGCTGAGTCTGGCTGCCTGGAGGACCGCTATTTCTATCAACGGAGATGCTACATGCCTTCTAAGGGCAGCAGCCAGCGAGTGACCAGTGGAACAGGCTGGGCTCATTTTAGCTGTCAGGAGAGAGTCCTGATTTCATCAGTCCACATAGCCCATCTTGATTTTGTAGACTGGTACCTGGGGCAAAGTAGCCAAAAATCTATACCATTCACAGGACACCACTGGCCAATAGCACATGCTAAAAAAATTACAACTGTATAGAAATTTACATTCCAGCCATGCCTGGTGGCATGACCTTGTAATTCCATGTACTTGGGAGGCTGAGGCAGCAGTCTGAGACCAGTGTGGGCTATAGAATGAGAACCCATCTCAAAATAAAGAAACCCCCCCATTCCTCTTGATGCCTTTAATTTGATGTGATTTCAAACAAATGAATAGTCAAATGCACTTTGAAAAGTTCTGATTCTTTACAAATGACTCACCTCCATTGTAGCCTCACCCCTAAATGGCCCTGAATTGGGTATAAAGTTCTTTGAGTTTTCTAAAGACTTCCATGTCCCACATTTGCCAAGAACTTCTGGCTGAAAGGCAGGACTCGGGACAGTAAGAAATATGGGGGACTTGCCACCTCTTCCCCTCTGAGATTTTCACTGTTGGCTCCCAGTATCTTTTCTAATAAGGTCTCTTAAATATTTTCTTTCCATGCTGGGGCTTGAACCCAGGACCTCACACAAGCTAGGTAAACACCCAACCACTACCCTACTCCCAGCGCCTTAATCCCTTTTGATGTTGTGAGGGAATCAGTTGAGCCTGCCAGTGTAGACGGCCAGACACCTCCGTCCTTACCTTCTTGATCTGATCCTCCTTCAGCTTGCTGAAGTAAAACGCCATCAAGTGGACTGCAAACATGTTTCCGAGCTGGGTGGTTCCTGAGACGGGCAGAGATTTCCGTACCGTCGCCGCACACCTCTCGTTCAGGCTGGGGAGCTGGGTGCTAAGAACTAAATACTCTCAGCTGCTCGGTTCAATGATTAAACTTCGCCCGTCTCTGGTCCCTCCCTCTGCCACACACCCAACCGTCTAACAGGAGGCTCTGCGGGACAGCCGAGGGGGAGGCTGGGGATTGATGGGTTGACTCTTTGAGAAACGGGCACCGCAAAACCTTGTTGCCAAGCAACACTCTCATGCCAGTGCCTCAAGCCCACTCAGCCGAGGGACATGGTATGAGGAGTTGGGGGACAAAACACAGGCAACTTTAAGCAGTGGAGCTGCTGGGCAGGTAAACCCAGTCCCAGGGTTCCTCACTTTCCCTCAGCAGGGCAACGGAACCGCACACTCCCAGTCCCTCTGAGGCAGGCACCTTCTCAACTGAGACTGAGCAGTGTCCTGGTCCTGCAGATTCCAAAAATACTGAGACCATTCCTCTACCGTGGAAGATAAACCCTTAGCTTGGCTAGTGAAAACCAGTCAGTACTCGACAGTGGGAAGCCAGACAGCCTTTATTTCATGGGGAGTAACTTGGGGCTGCGCAGGGGTGGGGTGGGGTGGGGTGGGGTGGGGTGGGGTGGGGGTGTTAAGAGAGAACGAAAGCCACCAGGCCTCACTGGAGGTGCTGCTGCAGAGGGACACTGAAGTCATGGGTGGGAAGGGTGTGCCGCCTTGAGACACCTGGTTCCTTACCCACCTCCTCCCTCATCATCCATGATGTGAGAACCAAGACCTTGGCGCTCCTCCCGGTCACTGGCTGGCTAGTGGATCCAGTAAGACCAGCATCAACGGCCGCTGCCAGGCATGGTGGGGACACACTTCATTAGTCCCATCTTATAGATGACAGAGGTGGCCCTGAACCAAGTGACTTACTCAAAATCACACTTGTAAATGCTCAGCCAGGAAGCAACCCCAGAAGTTCGATTCCCGGGCCCAGCTCATGACCAGCACAAGCCCCTCTTCCTCAGCGCAATACTGATGTGGTAACTAAGACTCTGCGGGGTTGAGTTTTAGCTAGCCCAAAAATTAACACAGGTCAGGACTTCAACAAACCCTTCCCAGCAGGGAACAACGGGGTTCCCTGGAAAACAATTCCCTGACTCTGCTCTCCCCAACACTACGGAAATTCGCTGGAAAGTTGACAGCTGACTAACTAGATGGCTGTGGGCACCCCAGAGCCGTGTCTCCCACTGTCCAGGTGACCTCTGGATAAGCTGTCACTCTGGTCCGCTTACAGCCTTAGCTCTGTCCGCTTTTCTTCTGCACAATCTTACCCATCAGAACAATGGCTGACCACTGCCCAGGCAGGGGCCTTCCACAGCTGCCTCTTCAGAAACCACCGGAAGTCTGGCTTGGGCCAGCCTGGATTAAACGATTACACACTTCCACGGACTGACCCAGCTACCTCCCGGATGGAGAAACCTCGACCCTTGCAGTCTGTTTACCCCCATACCGTCCATGACTTTTATCTCCTTGGCTTATCTCGTAAGCAAACAAAAGGTTAACCTTCAGTTTCCACTCAGTCCCCCAAACACACAACTGCTGGAATTCAGAAATGGCCTGGGACAGCATCCTGGGCAGGCTGCCTGTCCAGGAAGGATACTGTCGCCTTAAATCCCTCTCGAGTGCCTGTGGCACCAACTGAGGTCATCCACTGCAGGCTGGGATACGAGGTGAGGATGGGCAGTGGGCACAAGGAAAACACTGTAGCAGAGGTCTCTGCAGTCTCCAGTTGCCCGCGAGGCAGGCAGGCAGGCAGCCTGTGGACTCTCACTGAGGCAGAGGACAGAGGCTGCCCCTGTTATATGGCACACCATCTCTCACCTAAGCACATCGGCATCTGCCTTCCAGGTGTGAATCAGCTGAGTGACCCGGGAGGTTTAATGATTGGTAAAGATTACGTGCATCCAGAGTCATCTAGACAGACCCTTCAGCTTACAGTACCCAAATAAACTCACTGGGTTGGCTTGCCATTTTCTCACAGCGATCCCGGGTATGTTTTACCTTTATTAAAGCTCTGTGCAGCTAGTCTGAAATGTCTGGGTGTCAAGTTAGGTCACATGTGAGGGTTCTCACTGTTGTAACAGCACCTCAGCACAGGAAGTGAGGTTCTCTATACACACCTGTCCACTTCCATGGAGCTCTGCTCTAACCCATGTGGCCTCGTCTAAGCCCAAAGCAACATCTGCCCTTCTTTAGGTACTGAGCCTGACACGTGGTCCAGACAGCCCAAGAAAACCTTCCTAGTTAGGAAACACGTGGAGTTTACAAGGTGCTTTGCAGCTTTAATTCCTACAGCAATGGCCACATTCTCCATTTCACAGATGGAGGAGTAGAGCCCCAGAGCCCCACTGGTATTTGGTGGAACAGAAATTCAAACCCAGGCAGCCTGGCACCAGAGCACAAGGACGTCTGGGGACTTGTCTGGAAACAGCCCCGGCCCCAGCAAGCAGTGGCAGTGCACAGGCCCTGGGTTCTCACTCTGGCTCTCCCTTCCCTCAAGGTGAAAGGCCAAGGCCGTATTTTTACAACTACCCTGCTGATTACTCTGACAATGGAGGCAAACTAGAGATCACAGGAAAGGAGGGTAGCTTACACTGGGCACACCAAAATCATCACCTGACTGAAGTCTTCTCAAGGCTGGGGACCCCTCCTAAAACTCCTACTTCATCTCATCCCATGGTCCCTGAGGAAAAGAAAATGTGTGTAGCCTTTTCCATCCATTCAGCAAAACACATCCATAAACCATGAGAAGGTGCCAGTTCCACTCACAGGGTGATAGGCAGTCAGGAACGTTGTCAAAATTCTGCTACTGGCAGAGTATGGTGGAGCATGACGTGAGTCCTAGCACTCTAACAGGCAGAGGCAGGCAGACATCTATGAGTTGAGAGCAGACTGGTTTACATAGTCAGTTCCAGGCTAGCTGGGCTACACAGAGACCCTGTCTCAATAAACAAACAAACAAATAATACATCATGACGTCTACACTGTGTTTCTTGCAATGTAAGTCCAAAATTAAACTGTTCATAGCACAAATCAGTCTGAGCAAATGACACTCAGCCAGCTGCACAAGAATGTGTGGGAACGATGTCCACACACAGGAAACCAATGCAGAAACTTCCAAACTGCCACCATGACAGTGACTGCTGTGTCTTCACGGGAGTAATCACAAATGAAGCCAGTGTTCGGCAGCTTCCTAAAGAACGCCCCCAGACCTGTACTCACCTAGAAGAGAAGGGATGCTTAGGAAGAAGTTAATGCCCAACCCTTTTCAAATCACTCCTGAACATCTGCAAGACATGACAGGAAGACAAACCCATTCAAGGAAATGCAACTCATAGGGCACAAGATAACCAGCCTGTAGACGCAAATGAGGCTTCTGATTAGACATGGCATAAACCCAAGTGCACAGGGCTGATGGAGAGATGGCTCAGAGGTTAAGAGCACTGACCACTCTTCCAGAGGACCTGAGTTCAATTCCCAGCACCCACATGGCAGCTCACAACTGTCTGTCTGTAACTCTAGTCCCAGGGATCTGACACCCTCTTCCGGCCTCTGGGGGCAGCAGACATGCACCTGATACATAGACATACATACAAGCAGAATATCCACACATACAAGTAAAAATTTAAAAACAAAAACAAGATCTAAAACAACAAACTAAAAAATAAATGAACAAACAAGAAAAGCAGAAAACTCCAGGATCTAAAAGCCAAAGCCACAGGGAAGGGCCCACAGGCAAGCAGACTTGAATGGGCAGAAGGCTGTTCCTTGGGCCTGAAATGAGGTGACTCTTTTGTGTTACCACTTAAACACCCAGGTTTCCTGACACATCTCTTGCCGCGTATAGTGAGAATGAAGTGTTGTCCTGGAGTCTGTTGTACATTGCAATAATCTTTTTTTTAAAAAAACAAAACATCGTCTCCAGTTTACATTCAGCTAGTCCTACCTTAGCGGTGAGTTTAAAGGAAACCCGCTCTGGAATCCTGCCGGAGCTGGCTGCTTGTCTCTGCTGTACCCTGAATTCTGTAGCTACTCTGAATTAAGCCAACTCATTTAAAAGGCAAAACAAATAAATGTAACTTTTAAAAGTTTAAAGACACTTTTGTGAACATTACACATTACTTACAGAATTTTAAAAATGAAAGTAAATGGGAGTTAGGGACACAGCTCTATGGTAGAGCACTTTCTTGGCATGGCCAAGGTCCTGGATTTGATCCTAAAAGAACCAATCCCCTGTCTCATCACAATCTGCTACAGGCACTGTGGATTTTCCCGCAGAGAATTACCAGCGTTAGTGTATGTACTTACAGGTGCCCATGATGGTAGTTTAAGATGTCACTGCCTGCTCCTCTGTCCCTCCCTCCCTGCAAGGCTCAGCAAACCCTGCAGGAGACCTAAGAGATAGAGGATGGGGAGGTGTGCTGTACAATGCTGTCCTCTGAGACAGGACACGTCTGCTGCACATCAACTCACAGCAGCTACCTGCACAAGACCTACACAAGGTCAAGCTAGTTAAAAATTCCAGCATGGAGTGCAAGGGGCAGCAGAGGCAGCTGCTGGCTGCTGGGGGAGGGAGGGTCACTTTTCTTCAGAAGTGTAACCACTGGGTAGATTCCCCAGGCCCTAGTGGATGGTTCTACACCCATATGCATATGAGCACTAACTGGATTCAGGGAATTAAAAATCAATAAAAAGGACATTAAATGGGGAGGAAGATGTGATGGGGAGTCCTGGGTGAAGCTGAGGGGGATATGGAGGGGTGGATTATGAACAAGATACATGGTATACGTGTATGAAAAATTAAGATAATGATGATAATAAAGGAAGCTACTAAGCCCGACTAAGTACCAGACACTCCCACCAGAGCACACAGTGATAACAAAGAGGTGATACTCACTCTTGAGGCAGATTCTAAGACTGAAAAGGGCAAACTCTAATTATGCTAGAAACAATTTCTTAAATTTGGTCTTCAGGCTGGAGATGGCTCAGTGGTTAAGAGTACTTACTATTCTTCCAGGTGGCCTGAGTTCACACCCCAGCACCCACAGAGTGTCTCATAACTACATACCTGCAACTCTAGCCCCAAGGGATCTGATGCCCTCTCCTGGCTTCTACATGCACATAAGTAGCACACATTCACACAAACACACATAATATGTAAACTAAAATGTTTTAAAAATATTTGGTCTTTATCAAAGAATTTAAAAGATAAAAGGTAAACGTCTTCAATGCTCAGTCCTACATGGCCAGATATTTAGAGAGCAGTGGTAATTCTGTTTATAAAAACCCAGGTTTCTAGTCAGTGGTGGCGCAGGTCTTTAATCCCAGCACTCAAGAGACAGGTAGGCAGATCTCTGAGTTTAAGGCCAGCCTGGTCTAGAGAGCAGGTTCCAGGATAGCCAGGGCTACAGAGAAACACTGTCTGGGCGGGGTGGGGGCGGTGTTCATGTTTCTATAATCTAAAGCTTTCAAACAGGAAACTCTTAGCATGATATGTGTTTGTCTCTCAGCAAGCTTTGCCTCTCCATACATGTATGCACCAAACACACCATGTATGTTTGCTTCTGACTTTGAGATACAGTCTCACTGTGTAGCCCTAGCCACCCTGGAACTGGTACGGGACCAGGCTGCCTTCAACTCAAAGATCCACCTGCCTCTGCCTCCTAGTGCTGGGAATAAAGGTGTGTGACACCATGACCAGTTCTAAATGTACTTGTCTGATCTAGACACAGAATGACTGCTTTATGATGGCTTGGAGCATGAGACTGATGATTTGTGCTGACAGTACTGTGTATCTGCAATTCACAGGAAGTTATCTTTCAAAAGACCTAGTGTCATGCTGTAGATGTGGACTCGCCCACAGATCTAATATGCAAAGTACTAAGTCGCTGGTTATTAATGGCAGCCAGATACGTACTAACCACATTTCTGTGAGCCCCCCCAGATCTGTAGTGACAGAGCTGATCAGGATCAATACCTGGGCTTCAGTCCACACCTCATGCTGCTGTTCAGAAGAATCAAAAGTAATCCACCAAGGGCTCTCAGACAGGTATTTAAAAGCACATTAGGAAACTGCCAGGGAAAATGAAAACAGCTGTTTTTGAAAGGATGCCATTACGATTAAAATAAAATGCACACGTGGGAATTAATACAAGCCCACAAAAAAGGTGACAGTCAAACGTTAACAAGACCAAGATGCGGGGCTGGAGAGATGGCTCAGAGGTTAAGAGCACTGGCTGCTCTTCCAGAGGTCCTGGGTTCAATTCCCAGCAACCACAGGGTGGCTCACAATCATCTGTAATGAGATCTGCTGCCCTCTTCTGGCCTGCAGGGGTACAAGCAGGCAGAATATTGTATACATAATAAATAAATCTTAAAAAAGAAAGAAAACAAGACCAAGCTGCTCTCGTGGTGACAATGTAAGCTCTCCGAGATCAGCCCAGCGCCACTCCAATCAGTTTCCCCGTCTGTGTTCCTTGGCATCATGGTGACATCTCTAGGTTCTTCTGCTAAACCACACCCCGTCCTGTCCCTGAAGAGGAAAAGGGAAGGGCAAGAGGAAACGCCCACTGAAGAGCCTTCTTCAGCTAAGCACTCAAGCAGCTCTTCCTGAGCCCCTGACAGCTTCTAGAACCATCTCTGGTAGTGGGCATAGCTCACAGCAGTGTGTGTCGAAGAATTCCGCCTGTGCCATCCTCAGCACCAGGCCTAACGTCGTGCAGGATTTCTGAAACAGTGGTGTCTCGGGCTACTCTACAAGAGGCCATTAGGAACTTAGGTAAAACCTCGAAGACACCATTTTAAAAGTTGGAATGAGTAGTTTGGGTGGCTTTAGGAATTGACTTTGCAAAAAAAATATAAAAAAGTGCAAGACGGCCACAACCCTACCACAGGCAGTGCATGCCATGCACATAAGGATTTAAAATCGACTTTATTTGCACAGTTAAAAACCTATTCAGAGGTGGGGTCCTTCTTCTTCCTTCTCGTCCCGGCCTTCTCTCTGGCCTGCTCTGGCCGCTGAGTCAGCCACTCTTTCTGGAGCTGCTTCAGCATGTCTGCAGTGAGGAGTCCTTGCTGCACCAGCCTGGAAGCGAGGGGCAGCTCCCCGGCACCGGGGCTGGGTGCCTCTGCCGCCGCTTTGCCCCCAGCACCCTTGGTGGCACGTGTCCTTCTTGCCGGGCTCTTTAAGGCTCCTGACAGAGCTGACTGGCTCCCTGAAGATAGGCTCTCCAGCTTCAAAAGCTTGCGTGACTCAGAAATTTTAATCAGTTTGGTGATGTTGTGCACACCATCTTGGATAACGACATCCAGTTCTTTCTGGAGATTTCGAACAAGGCTGGAGTCCGGGAACATATCCATAAATCGGTAGCTGGGAAAAGAACAAAGAGAATTAGAGTTACCGCTCTGAACCAACTCTGACCACCTACCCATCCTAGAGCAAAGCTTCAACAGGAATGCACAATTAACGGCTGGAAGCTGTGTTCAAATGCACCACCTGGGCCGAGGAGACGGCTCAGAAGATACAGGTGACTGCTTCACAGACCTGGCGACCTGAGCTAGAGTCACGGGGCCCACAGGAAATACAAAGTAGAGAATCAATTCCAAAAAATGAAACAAAATGCACCCCGGCACGTGCATTTCCCACCTACCCCATCACACAAACATGTACACACGCACGCACGCACGCACGCACGCACGTACGCACGCGCACACACACACAAGAGCAATAATTTTTTAAAAATGAGAATTTAAGTCTAGATGGAGCTGAAGTTCTTTTCTTCTAAACAGTCCCCAAGGGACACTACTCTTCCACTAGCTAGGGGCTAGTCAACATCCCCATCGGCTGGCTATCTGTGAGTTAGAAAATGAGAGCACAGAAAGGAGAAGGATCGGTACCTTAGCCACAGGTAGAGATCAAAGACGTCATGCACAGCTTCAAGGTCCATGAGGTCTTTAATATTCTTAGGCGGAAGCAAAGGCCACTTGATGTACCGGCGTAACCAAGCAAAGGTCAGGGGCTCATTCCTGCTGTACTGCCTGGCAAACTGTAACAGGGACGAGCAGACGAAAGGCTGTTTCTTGTTGATGGGGGCTGTGCAGAACACATACCTCACCCGTAGACTTAGTGGAATATGCTGGATCAGCTCTGCAGAGAACTTAAAATCATCCATATTGCAGACAAAATACTGCCCGTCAACTTGTGCAAAGTCTACAAAAATATCCTGGGGGAAAATATATATGAAATTACTGAACTGCCTGGATGTGACTACCCCACTGGGTGTGAATACAGAACTCAAGCCCACAAAAGACAACTCTAGTTGTTAGCAGACCTCTGGAGAGGTGCCACACTTTCTGCTCTCTAAAGCTAAGACATTTCTCCCATGGTCTTCCTAACCTGAACTTCTTTTTGAGACAGAGGCTCACTATGCCCCCTGGGCTAGCCTCCAACTCTAGGGCCTCCAGCCACAGTGTCCTGAGCACTGGGTTTACAGGTGTGCACTGACATGTGTACCCAGCACTCAAGCCTTCAGAAGGTTTCACCAGCGATATCCCTTCATGGACAGCGACTGCACAAAGGCAGGCTGTCCACTCCTGCCCATGCAGCGAGCCCGAACTGACACGGCATGTCAACAATTGGAGAAGAGGAGATTAGAGGAGCTTCCACCTACGATGAGATTGGACAGCGTTGTCTCAGGGAGATGGTAGGCAAACATCTCGATCTGCTCAGCAGTGGGGTGAAGACCAGCTGCCTGCAGAAGTAAAACATAAGAAAATCGTGAGCTGAGCTTGCCCCTTCATTTTCTGAATGGCATTTTCTTCTTTTGAAACAATGTCCTACATTAGGCTAAGTTTTTTCCAAATGAGTCCCATGCCAAGAACTTCAGTACTCGAGAGAAAAAGACATGACCATTTGAAGTATTTGCTGCAATTAGCAACGCTGATAGGATTATTTAATGAAAATGGCAGATTATGTAGCCTTCGGTTATGTTTTAGTCATGTGACCAGATTTGACAGAATAACAAATATGCCTTCAAGGAGGAAACAACTTTCCAAACTGCAGTTCTCGCCACATGACCAGGAGTGAACAAGGAAGCCACCGCAGTCACAAGACAACATCTACACTGGACGTCAGCTGGCCCCTTACACTGCAGTGCTAAGCCACGCCCACAGCCGAGGGTGAGGATGAGGGAGGGGGAACGTATGACGTCCAGAAACGAGGTGCTCAGCAAGGACAGAGGGCTGAGTACACACTGCACAGGAGCCGCTCAGGAGCCATCCCACCCCGCCCAGGACAAACAGTCATGTCACCAGCCTCCACCCCATCATCTCGCAGTTTTCTGTCATCTTCCTAACATGAAATGAGCCACTGAAGCGGATTTCTCGAGACTTAAAATGTGACCCAAGAGCCATGGATTGACACAGAAGTCCTTACTTGCAGTGTGTCACTCGGTGCGAAGTCTCTTGTCTAGTCAAGCTCAGTTCCCTCTCCACTTTGTGACATAACTCTATGTGCACCACAGCGAGGGAATCAGGCCAACTAACTGCTGACTCTGGGTCTTCCACTTGCCCACAATTCTGTCGAAGAGGTATCGAAGCCTCTCCAAACACTAGAGGAAAGCCTTCTATCTACTTTTAAATTATGGTGTGCATGTGCGTGCGTGCGTGCGTGCGTGCGTGCGTCTCTGGAGCTGGAGTTACAGGCCGTCATGAGCTGCCTGGCATGGGTGCCGGCACTCTCGGCTGCCGAGCCCTCTCTCCAGCCCTAAGCCGAGCTTTCTTGTGGCAGTCTCCCAGCTCAGGCTGCCCTTCTGTCTCCACACACTGAGGCAGGAGACTCGTCGGCGGGAAGGAGACTGCCCTGCGTGCAGCGGGAGCAGTGAGGTGCTCAGCCTTACCTGTATAGGAGGCACAGGTCTGTTCAGAATCTCCTTCAGCAGAGCCAAGTCCTCCCGGTGCATAGTTGTGACCTCTCCCTCCTTAAAGTGGGAGCTGAACCTGCCGGCTCGGCCGGCGATCTGCAGAGCTTGGGAGGTGGTGATCGGCTCCAGCTCCTTCTCTCCCTTTTCATTGATGCTGGGCTTTATAAGGGAGTAAAAAATAATTCTCCTTATGCTCCTGAAATAGAAATAAAAGTGACCCCACAGACTGTACACAGCCCCGTCACGTGGGTCATCACGATATGCTCAGCCTAACTCTCTTTTAAGTCAAAATGGGGCTGGCTAGATGGCTCGCCAGTTAAGAGTGCTTGTTGCTCCTCCAGAAGCCTCTAGAGTTCTATTCCCAGCACCCACATGGTGGCTCACAATCATTTGAAAATCAAGTCCAGGAGGATTTGACACCTCCAATTGTACCACATTAGGCAAACACCCATACACATAAAATTATTTAAAAAAAAAATTTTTTTTTTGGTCTCTTTACACAGTCCTACTTTGGCTGTCCAGGAACTCACTATGTTTGTTTGTTGTTTTTTTGTTTTTTTGAGACAGTGTTTCTCTGTCCTGGATCTCACTCTGTAGCCCAGGCTGGCCTCAAACTCACAGAGATCCGCCTGCCTCTGCCTCCCGAGTGCTAGGAATAAAGGCGTGCACCACCACACCTGGCTGGTTTTTTTTCTTAATGAGAAAAGCCCAGGCACTGTGGCACACACCTATCATCCTTGCACTCAGGAAGCTGACACAGGAAGATTGTGTGTGAGGGCAGGTTGGACTACACAATGACTTCTAGGACAGCCTGGCTAATAAAATTTTAAAGAGGCTTGCTGTGAAATCTTTTTATTCATCCCTTGTTTTTGTTTTTTAAGACAGGGTCTCAGCGGCAGTAGTGGTGGCTTTAATCCCAGCACTCGGGAGACACAGGCAGGTGTGGCTCTCAATGAGTTCGAGGCCAGGTTGGTCTACAAATCGAGTGCAGGACAGCCAGGACTGTTACACAGAGGAACCCTGTCTTGAAAAACAAACAAACAAACAAAAAGACAGGACCTTCCTGCCTGGGCCGATTGGGTGCTGGGGTTTACAGGCATGTGCTACCCTGGCCAGCTCTCAAGCAGAAAGTCTGAATAACTGTGTATCTTTACTTAAATCACCCTTTGAGAGGTCAAACTGCAAAGTATTTGAATTATTAAGCTAAAGAAAATGACAGCAGACATAGTGCTCTCATACGTGTTCCAGGTTACTGGTGCCGAGAACAGCGGCACACCCCTCAAGTCCCAGGTACTTGAGGAGCTGACGCACAAAGATTGTCTGACCCAGGAGTTCGAGGCCAGCCCGGGCAGTGTAGTGCACCAGCTGAGGGAACAGCTCAGTTTAGAGCACCGGCTGCTCTTGCAGAGGACTTGAGTTCCATTCCCAGCACCTACATGGTACCTCACAGTGATCTATAACTGCAGTTCCAGAGGTTCTGGCCCCCTCAGTACTGCATACATGTGATACACATATATATCATGCAAGCAAAACACTCACACATAAAATAAAAAAATTTTAAATCCTTTAAAAAAGATCAAAATCAGCTGGGCGGTGGTGGCGCACGCCTTTAATCCCAGCACTCGGGAGGCAGAGCCAGGTGGATCTCTGTGAGTTCGAGGCCAGCCTGGGCTACCAAGCGAGTTCCAGGAAAGGCACAAAGCTACACAGAGAAACCCTGTCTCGAAAAACCAAAAAAAAAAAAAAAAAAGATCAAAATCAAAACAAACAAAAAGGACAAACTGAGTGGTGGGCAAGAGCTCAAAGTCAGTGGAGGTACACACTAAACTCAGGGCAGGGTGGCCTGGGCAACC